CGCTAGGTAGGAGGCGCGCCGCAGGTCGTCGGTACAATGAGCGCCGGTTGCGTCTGATCTGATGTGCCGGCACCGCAAAGTTTCGTTGCCGCCCATATTGTCGGGACGTGGTAAACCGTCGACTGGAAGATGACCGGCGCGCTCGCAGTCTGAAGCCCCAGTGGAAGGCGAGGGCGGCTCAAAATGCCGACCCTACTCCCGACTGGCGAGGAAGCTCATGTGGGAGTCTCAAGCCACTGAGTCGCCCAGTCGGAGATGAACCGCAGGCTGTCGGCGCTGAACACCGGGCGGCGTCTGGCGAGCCGGTACTGCGGGTCCTCACCGACGCCTCACCGCCATCCGGCGGAACCAGGACTGGGTTTCCTCCATCTCTTGGTTGAAAATGTTGAAGAGGTCAACGTTCTGATGGCAGAGTTAAATTTATCGTGAGTATGATGTACGGGCAGAGCACAAACACATCCACACACGCACACAACCAAACACACAGATCACACAGTAGTAAGCGTGGGGCTATAACAAAGGCAGATAAGGCCAAGAAGAAGTTTGTGCTCATGATGCATATGCTGGTGGTGATGCCGTGGTGAATGGCGAGTGCTGTGAAAAAATGTCGGTAAAGATGAATCGTGCTACTAGTCTCTGTATGACTAGTTTGATGAGACGTCAGATTAGTCAGGCTCAATGTTGTGGCGGTGCAGTCTGCTGACGGATCGTTGTGGTCCCGTTTCCATCATCTGACGGCAGCTCTTCCAGGTGTCAGTCTGGTATGCCGTTTCCCTGCTTGGGAACTGAGTGTCACAGCCACCAGTTGTCACGGCCGGTTTTTGTCCGGTTGCAGGTAGGTGTTGTGCAAGACTCTGTCCGGTGATGTCTTCCACAGATCCTTCAAGTACGTCACGTAGCTTCCTCCTTTTCCTACTTTCATGGTGAGGAGGGAAGAGGGCGGCATCATCATTCAGGTTGGTGGAGTATCCAATGGCCGGTGTGCCAATGGAGCGGTCTCCTCCACCATGTTCAGAGGTGGGTTGGAGGGCGGTATCCTCCACATTCGATGTCGGTTTCGGTGGTTTGGTTGCTGTTTCTTCGATGACAGCATCGCTCCGCGTCTCGGATTTGGGTGGCTGGCTGGTTTCAAGCTTCCGTTTCAGCATCATCATCTGGTGAGTGGACCGGTTGGCAGAGCTGGCTACTGATTGGCAGTACAACTCCTGCACAAGATTCGTCTTGCACCGCTGTGCGGTGTCGTTACAGGAGGGTTCGGTCACTGGGAGGCCGTCTCGGTTCACAGCTTCTTGGTCTGAGACCTCCATCAGGTTGAGGCTACACATGTCATCACTTCTGCGACTGTGGAATGTGTGGTGGGTCGGCACATCATCAGGTCGGTATCCTGATGTGGTGGTAAGTGATGGTCGTTGCGTGGTGGCACTCTCCACGTAGTCAGGTCGGTATCCTGACGACGCGGTAAATGGTGGTGGCAGATTCGGTGCCTCAGGTGCAGGCCTTGTCGGTTGGTGCTGGGTCGGATGGTGAAGCGATGTGTGGTGAGGCTCCCCACAGGACGAACATGGATGGCTCATACAGGACCGAACCCTGTGAGGGCCCAGGCACTGGTAGCAAACACCAGTTTTGCCCACTGTCCTCCATCGGTCGTCGACTGTCATGGCTCTGTATGCCAGGCATTGGTTCAGTCCATGCTGTCCTCGGCCACACGCTCCACAGGTCCATGATTTGGCCTGTTTCGCCGGTGTCTGCCGCTGGATGGACAGGGCAGAAGCTGTGGAAGGAGATGAGGATGGTGTCGCTGGACTTGGGGGTGGGCTGGTGGCTCGGATGGTTTCTCGGAGTGCCAGCTCCCTTTCCAGAAACAGCAGCAGGTGCTCGTAGCTGGGCTGCTCCTGTCGAACCCACTCCAGTCGCCAGTCCTGAGGAAGCTTCTCCTTCATGACTGGAAGAAGCAGAATGGAACAGCTGTCGGGGTTCACTCCGAGGGTGGCCAGAGCACGCGTGTGGGCAGACAGGTGGTCTACGAGGTTCCGCATGGCGCTCAGGTCGTTTCCGTTGTGGACGGCGGGTGCATCCAGGAGACGTTTCATCAGAGTCTCCCTCTCGATGTCGTCTCTCTGGAATCTCCTCTTCAGGATGTCGATGGCGGCGAGATATCCGTCTCCAGACACAGGGATCCCGTCGATGGCCTTCTGGGCTGAGCCACTGAGGTGCGACTTCAGGACCACAAACTTCTCGATGTTGCTGTACCGGCTGTTGCTGTGGATGGATACGCCGAACAGCTCCCAGAATGAGCGCCACTTCATAAGGTCTCCGCTGAATGTGGGTATCTTCACGACGAGCGAGGATCGAAGGTCAGTATTTGAGGTCGGGTCGACTTCACGTGTGCTGTCTCGAATGGCTCCAGCCGCTCCTCCTTCGAGTCGAGCCAGGAGTCGAGACGCCATGAAGACCTCCTCCTCTATCATGTCGGTATGTTGAGTCTCGTCTGGGTTGCCGTCTTTGTCGAGAAGGGTCTGGACTGCTTTAAGGTCGTCTCGCAATGCATTTAGTTGATGGACTTTGTAGGCAAGGTAGTCAATGTCGATGTCTTTGTGGTCCTTGGCTCGGTATGCCTTTGTGTCATTGACTAGTTTGGTGGCTTTGGTCCTCAGTTTGGTCCTTAATTTCACCTGGTCCTCCATTATTCAAAATTAAGGTGCCTCTGGGTAAGTGAAAATTTCAGCCAAAAAGGCGCATCTGGCCCGGGGAGGACTATGTTAAAATTGATGTTTAAGAGTTGAGAATCAGGCGCATAAAAAAAATGAATTAAGGACCAAAGAGATAAAATACGGTTCAGTGGCTGTATTTGGCAAAGGTGGCACAATCACACAGGTAGGTAATAGTCAGTGGGTAGGTAATGGCCGGAAATTGACGGCCCGTTGACGGCCCTAACTCCGGCGGAAGGTGGAAGCGGCTCAATATGCCACTCCACTCCAGACTGGCGGGAGGACTGGGGGAGCAGGGACCGAGAGACAGAGGCGGACAAGTGACCGATCCAGAATACCGACCACCGTCCGCCCCGCCTCCCGATCGCCTACTGCCCCCGTCCAGGCGCCGCCGGGCCGAGGTCGCCACCGATCACGTGACCGGCGCCAGGTCAGCGCGCACGCGCCCCCCGTGTCACGCCGGCCGGCTGGGCCGCGGCGAGCGGCCGGGCGGGGCAGCGTCGCCGCTCAATAACACAGCGCGGTAACATAACACGACGCGACGCAAACAAATATAACTTGGGACGATAACATAAATGCATACTTGAATACAAACTTAACACTCTCTCTCTCTCTCTCTCTCTCTCTCTCTCTCTCTCTCTCTCTCTCTCTCTCTCTCTCTCTCTCTCTCTCTCTCTCTCTCTCTCTCTCTCTCTCTCTCTCTCTCTCTCTCTCTCTCTCTCTCTCTCTATCTCTCTCTCTCTCTCTCTCTCTCTCTTTCTCGCTCTCCTCTCTGTCTATCTTTATCTGTGTGTTACATAAGATAATGCGATGCCAAGCCTGGCGACTCTGATCGGCATACCGCATCCCACCAAGTTATGGATCAGGCGGTCTCATTTTGTGAAGTCTGTGCTTATATTGGGTTAATCAAGTGACCAACACACTACTAACGTTGCATTGCAATTTTACGCTTCATTACAGTCCCTGCAAAAGCCAGGAACTGTGCTAGTTATAATCAGTTTCAGATTACGCAGGTAAGAATATACCTCAGCTGCCGTGTATTACGTCATCAGCAGGTAATCACTAACACGCTGGCAACAACTTCGTACACTGGTAGCTCGGTCAGGTGCTGTGCCGCGAACTGGTGCTAATATTGCCACCGGTAAAGTCGCACTTTATCAGCTGACACATAGGGAACTACCCAGCAACTTGACCTGTCTCTTCGCCTGCCAGAACAAATTGGAGCGGCAAGCTCTCCGCGACTGAATTAAACACTACCCACACAAACTGTAAGCAATACCTACTCGCCAAAAGAATTTAAGACAATGCCCATCCATAAATGGCTCACTGAAAAATAATACGAATTTGTCAGCGGAACAGCACGTGTTAGGACACGTGTGAGGGAGGCTCTTGATGAGCATATTAATATTTGCAAGCGTTGCTGAGGCTCATTATAAATCGCCAGTGGAAACCGGACAGACAAAAAAAAAGATAGATAAGATAAAATAAAAGCCGTAGCTTCAATTAGGTATATATAGCTATATCCGTTGATACGTCCACCGTATACGACCACTGCTGTTTCCACATATGTAGCTATCGATGTCTTGAGGCCTGATTGCTGAATGCTCGTCAACCGACCAGCAGCGTCGGCAGTGTGCGCGAGGGTCATGAATAGATCAACCAACGCTGCGATGCAATATTGTTTACCAGCTGAGTTTGCCGATTGCGTTAGCTGCCACGGGGAAGGACAATGGAATCCCTCACTGAGGTATGAATTCTCAAGTTAGGTATAATCGTACGGCTGAGATAAAATGGACGAGCGCCGATATTATTTTTGTTTTACGGTATCACCATCATATCATACGTTTATTTGAAAAGCTAAAAAGCTGAAACTGGGAAAGTTTAGGAGGCAGTTTTTGGTTACTCGCAGATGTGCGGACATTGTTTTTACCATTTGGGCTGCTGATTGTTTGGTTATTCTATCTGCTAACAGACCCAAGCTCGTAGACCTTGTTGTATGTCTGAAGGCTTCTGTCTATCGGATAATATTTTTTTGGGGGGGGGGGGGTGGGGGGGGCTGGCCGTCACAGCTACCAGGTGACGACCGTCTTATTTCTCGTGACCCATCCCACGATTTCGTTCTACGGCATTTTTGCGTGTCATGACTATAGGAAACTTGTCCGCTCGATTAAGGTTGAGACGAGCCATTCCATTTGGAGTCCTGACAGTGCACCTATGTGTCATGAGTTTGTGCAGCACAGAACGTTAGTCTGATCCTTCTTTCATCACTAGGTGTCTAAGGAATTCGTTTCAACCCGATGTTTGTTTTATTCATACCAATGAATAACATTTGCAATGACATGACATGAAATTAGATTACCAACAATATAAGAACACTCAATAACAATAAGGTACACAATAACATATGATAATTGATGCACATTTCCCTCAACTACGATTAGGTATCATTTAACGATTTTTCAGTCTGATGCGAGTATGTGTGCATCAGCAAGAGTATTCAATGCCATCTTCTAAGTCAGTCTGCAAAGACAGAAGTACAATGTTGACTACTCAAATGTAAATGTTTCATGCAAGTACCGACAGCAATAAATCTGGTTGGCAATGCCGCTGGACAGTCGATAAGGCAGAGCCTGCTGCATATCAATATTGAAGACCCGTGAGTGCATTTTCATCGACAGGCTGATAAGCACTTAGGCAGTAGGCACGTAGGCTGATAGGCAGTTAGGGAGCGGGGTCAGCACACCGCGGCATCGTCCGCCCATGTCACGAGCAGCTGAGGTTACGTTCGGGGTAGGCAGGCGATATGCAGCTCCAGCCTAGGGCTCTGCCCCTCCAGTTTCCGAGCGCATCTTCCAATGCTGTCGAAAGAAAAACATCCGTCAGCGCACGGGTCCGTCCCAGTTCTCAGAGTGAACACTGACGGCGGGACGATGACGGTTGGATAGGGCAGTGGCACATATTTCGTCAGGGAAGCGGGTCACATGAGAAGCCGAGGACGATGGCGCCTTTGATTGCGGTCTCCAAGCTAAATGTGCACGTGTGCACGTGTGCGGTCTCCGAAGTCCAAACTAACGCCGTCTAGTTAGGTCTACATATTATATCCGTGTACCGGAAATTCATTGAAATTCATTGGCTTTCATCTGCGCGTTTGAGAGATAAGGGGGGACGTACAGGGACAATCCACGAATATGCCTGTTAGCGAGCAAATAGGCATTTTTGATATCTTCGCAAAGACGGCCGGCGCTCGGAGCGCAGCGGTCGGTCCGCCGCGCCACGCCGCTCACATATGTGTCATCTGGCCCCTGCCCTGGTTCTCATGCCCACGTGTTGTGCGTACCACGAGGGCTGAGACGGGTCGGGGGCCTGAGAGTCTTCGACGGGACTCCACCGGTGCGCGACGGCCCGGTGCACGACGTGGCCGACGTGGCCTTACGTACGACGCGGCCGACGTAGCCCTACGAGAACGATTCAGTGAACCGCATTTGTGACCGCCGTATTTGTGCATTTTAACCGTTTCCGTTTCAATCAAGAATAGACTTTTTCATATATGAACAATAACTTTATGGTCCTCCGGGTAATGACAGAGAACGAGTACTCGAACGGGTGAACTGAACGATTCTCGCGAACATTCTGGTCCTCCGGGCCGGATCTCAGTGAACTAGTGTGCGAATGGATTTACAGTGACGACGCGGTAGTGTGAATTGTGAGTGCAATGTCTGACAAACGGTCACGACACGACAGTGATGCAAAATCGCATCAAGGTCGCCGGAGCTCATATCACACGAGGAGTGAGGCGAGCTTCAGTACGGCGTCCTCCGGCCTCAGTGAAGCCCGCCGCCGAGCTGCGCTAAGCAAGCTCCAGGCGGAACAGGTCCAGCGCGCCGCCGCCGCCAAGGCTGAGCTGGCCCGGCGTCAGGCGGAGGCGCAGGCAGAGCAGTCCCGGCAGCAGGCGGAGCAGGCGGAGGCGCAGGCAGCACTAGAAGCCCAGGCGGCGAAGGATGAAGCAGAATGCCGCCAGCTGGAGTTGGAGCTGCTGGAGCAGGAGGAGCTAGGTTCGCAGCTCGCTCGTTCTTATGCTGCACCATCCGTCGCCGGTCTCCCGGTGGTTGCAACAGAGCCACCGGCGCAGGTATGCGTGTCTCGACAGACGGACGAGTCGGTCACGCGCACCCGACAGTGGCTGACTCAGTCTCAGCTACACGTGCCACCAGTGGATACGGCTCCCGTCAGCGCTGTGCCTCCACCTGCAATGCGTCTGCAGCGCCCGTCCAGTGACGACACACGAGCGGTCCCGCATCTGCCGCGCATCACACTGGAGAAGTTCGGAGGCTCTGCCATCGAGTGGCCGCGGTGGATAGCCCTCTTCAAAGCGCTGGTACACGACCGCGCCGACCTCACCGACGTAGAACGGCTGACCTATCTGCAGACTCACCTGACGGGGCCGGCGAGAGAGTCTGTGCGGGGCATGCTCTGCGACGCCAGTCTATATAGCACTGCCCTGGGTGAGCTGGAACGAGAGTTTGGTGACCCGTCCCGTGTGATACACGCCACGATGAAAAGACTGCTCACAGCGCGGCCAGTTAAAGACGGTGACCTGTCAGCGCTCACAGAGCTGTCCCGTGAGCTCCACACCGCGGTGAGCGTCTTACAGTGTTTACACTACGATCACGACCTTGCCGCCGCCACGAACGTCACCACTGTGACTGGGAAGCTACCAGCCTCCCTCGCCTGGAGGTGGGGCGAGCACATGGTGGAAAACGGCATCACTCGTCCGACGCTCGTCGATCTCGACGAATGGCTTCGCCGTCATGTGTCAGCTGGTCGGTTGGCCTTGAACGTGACCACCAAGCAGCTGCCGAAGGTCGAGGCTAATGACGCTGAGTGCCGCCCGAGACGCGTGTTTACCACCACGTCGGCGCGGCCCACGCCGGCGGCTGTAAAGCGGGAGAGGACAGCTGCCATAAAGTCATCAGCGGACGGACACAGTGACTGGTGTACCATGTGTCAGCAAACACACGAGCTCCAGCACTGTGACGAATTTCTCGCGCTGACTGTAAGTGAGAAGGCAGAGTTCGTCGGCAGAAACGGACTGTGCTTTAACTGCCTAGGTCGTGGTCACATCAGCGCTACGTGTCCCAGTGATGCACGATGTGACGCGGAGCACTGCGGCAGGCGTCATCACGCGCTGTTACACAATGGAGGACGAGTGTTTCCGCGGCGTGATTCCGATGATAGTACGCCGTCATCTGCCAAACATGTCGGCACTGCATCGGCCGAGCCTCGCAGTGATGTTCTCCTGCAGGTGGTGCCGATCACCGTTAATGGTCCGGCAGGTAGCCGCACCACGAACGCACTCTTCGACCTGGGCAGTCAGGTCACACTGATCACCGACGACCTGTGTGACCGGCTCGGCATCTCGGGGCCCACCGACAAATTGGTGCTGAGTACGCTGAGTGGGACCCAAACGACGACGTCACGACGCGTATCCTTCGCCGTCGAGGCTGTGGGCGGCGACGGCAGGGCACACCGTATACGAAACGCCCAAACGACGCCGACGTTAAACGTGTCAGCCAAGGCCATGGACTGCACAGTGGCAAAGGAGAAATGGCCGCACCTGGACGACCTGGATCTCCCCAGCGCCACCCACGGCCCAGTGGAGGTGCTCCTGGGAACCGACGTCATCGAACTTATTGTGCCGCGGGAAGTGATCGAGGGACCGACGGGAACGCTGTGCGCCGTAAGGACGCTGTTGGGATGGACGGTGACCGGGCGGGCGTCGGAACGCTCGGTGCTCGATGGTGAACACGTTGTCAATCACGTTCGTGTCAGCGATAAAACGAGTGCAGTCGCTGACCTTCACACCCAGGAATCATCAGAGACGACCCAGTGGTGTCACGCAGCCGAGCCGCCGGGCCCGGCCGACATCTTCAGCAGAGGCGACCCGGGGACGGACCTCGCCCCCGGCGGACCGTGGATACGAGGTCCAGCTGCGCGGTCCGGCCCGGCCGCCCCCTCCGGCGACGAGACGAGGGTGACGGCGTGCGTCACCGAGCGAGCGGAGCCGGTCGTAAACGGCAGTGACTTTTCGTCCTGCCTCATGGACTCCGGCGGCCTGCTCAGAGTCGGTGGCCGTCGCTGGAAGCGGAAGAACACGCAGCCGCAGGATCGCTCCTGGCGACGCCGGCGGCGAGAGTGTCTCCCCGCGCACGCCGACCGCACACTGCATGTCGATCATGGACACGACCGAGGTCAGGGTCGACGAACCAGTGCGGCTGACCGACGGAGACGTACCGCGTGGACATCGGCCGATGGGACGAGCGGAGTGTATGACCCCGGTGTAGGCGGTCGTATCCGCGCCGTGGATGCGACGACTGCCACCGGCCAATACAGGCGGCCTGTCAACCGCCTTTGCCGCCTCGAGTGCGACGGTGACGGACAGTATTGATGGGATAATATGCGCGCGCGTGGGACGACTGAAGTGAGTCGTTTACGACCCTGCCGTGCCGCCGGCGAGCAGTGTCGAGATCTGGACATCTATTAGTGTTTCCTGCCCTCGTCATTCGCGGTGTAAGCGTGTCTGTGTGTGTGTGCGTGTGAGAGTGAGCCGCTCACTCTGTCCGCGGTCAATGGTCATTTGTGTTTAGTGTTCAGCCATTAGCTATCAACTGTGAGCCGTGTGACGATGCTACGCGTTCACTGTGACAGTGTCCCTCCCGGCCCACTTGGCCGGTCGGTCTACGAATGAGCTAGTTTACGACCTTAGAGTGCGCAGTGTTAGATTAGTCTATGGTACCACGCCCATGTTAGCGCTAGTTTCTGTTCGCGTCCGCTCCGTTCGGTAATGCAATGTGTGTTATGTGTTGTACGCTGGGTGCTGGGTGTTTGTGTGTCGGCAATGTGACGGCACTGTCACTGCCGCCAGTGCCTCTCGAGCGAGTGTTCGTAGTTAACGACCTGCGTCAGTGCGTGACAACGGTGACAGTGACCGGCGGCCGGGACCGCGCCGTCGTATAGTTTTACGACTGGGCGCGTGATTGTTGTCAGGAATGACCTCCGCCCCGGCCAGACTCTGTAGTGCGTAATGCGTATTGTATGTGAGTGTATGTATATCGCGCATGTTGAACGGATCGTTACGAGTGTGTGCGTGCGTACGGGACGCTTGAACGATTGCTCGCTAGTTGTTGGATTTTCCGCGGATGATCGCGAAAAACCGGGCCGGCTATGTTAGCGAGCAAATAGGCATTTTTGATATCTTCGCAAAGACGGCCGGCGCTCGGAGCGCAGCGGTCGGTCCGCCGCGCCACGCCGCTCACATATGTGTCATCTGGCCCCTGCCCTGGTTCTCATGCCCACGTGTTGTGCGTACCACGAGGGCTGAGACGGGTCGGGGGCCTGAGAGTCTTCGACGGGACTCCACCGGTGCGCGACGGCCCGGTGCACGACGTGGCCGACGTGGCCTTACGTACGACGCGGCCGACGTGGCCCTACGAGAACGATTCAGTGAACCGCATTTGTGACCGCCGTATTTGTGCATTTTAACCGTTTCCGTTTCAATCAAGAATAGACTTTTTCATATATGAACAATAACTTTATGGTCCTCCGGGTAATGACAGAGAACGAGTACTCGAACGGGTGAACTGAACGATTCTCGCGAACAATGCCTATAGTTCTGCACCTGCGCTTGTACTGCACTATTTCTGTATTTACATAGGCCGGGTTCCCACATCGACCGTTCAACATCGTAAAGTGCCGAACAACGGGAGAAAACGGGCGGGATCGTTAGCTTAGCGACTCTTCTGAAAAAATAGGGAAATGGGAGTGGATATTGGATATGCTGTTACTTATCATGTTATCATATTCTCTCTGATATCAGGCTTTGGGCCCACTCCGTTTTTAATTGATCAACGAACTTAGTTTAAACGATTTAAACACTATCTATATTGATTCTCGCCAATAGCTTTTTTCTTCATGGATCAATGATGCAAACAACCACAGTGTCCACAGTCACTGGCTGTAGAGCTAAAGGGTCGACAGGATAAGCTCATCATGCATCGAATTCAGTGCGCTGTGCAGCATCCTGTCATCTACTCGTATCCATTCTCTAGTTCTTCAGGTTATGAGAATTGGAGAAACCTATGCTTGACTATCTTCGACTTTATGGCATATCTTGATCGGATCATGGTCATTGATAATGGTCCGTCGGATAGCAGCAGTAACTGCTCGTTGCATTCTTGGCATCGTTTACAATTCCAGTCATGACATTGGGTAGTCCTAATGAATGTGAAATTGCATAGGGTGGAGAAAAAAGCTGCCTACAGCTATCCGACATCACGACTCGAGGGGGTCCATCATGACTCCCATCAGTGATAATTACTCATCAGTCTGTCTAGCTGGATCATGCTACCAAGGAGTGCCTTCGGCGAGGTTTGCCTCAGCCTGTCCTGACGATAGAGACGAACCTTCGTCGGACTCCCAACACCCAGTCAGAGGGCTCAGAGCCTCACGTAACCAGCGTCATCCAGCGAACTAACAGTTCCTCGGCACCGTCTGCAGAGGGCGCTGGCTTCGGACACCAGTGAAGAAAGGCTGATCGAGCGTGAGGGGATAGCGGGCAACAACAGGCCCTGCAGCCGGCTGGTGGTAGCAGTACAACAGCTCTACACGACTGAATATACGCTAGCGTGAAGGCTGAAGGACTAATCACGGACCTGCTGTCCTCCCTACTCCCTAGTCCCTATAATATCTGAAAACGTTAAGCAATTGTGAACCTTCATTTTTTTTAGCTAAGTTTCGAATATTTTTGAAGGTGACTTTAATGTTCAGGGCAAGCTTGAATTGTCATACTACGAAATGAACAATAGGTAGGTACCCTGCAATACAAACGGAGAAAGGGACAGTTTTGTCGCGGCATTAATGACAGAAGGTAAGGCAATCGCATACCACGTATAGTCGGTCAAATATGTATCTTTCCCGGCCGCCAAGTGGCGCTACGGTCTGGATTCGATAGTTGGCTGAGCCCACACCCCAGCTGCCCTGGCGGCTCGGCGGCCCTGTGACGTCACGCGCGGGGGGCGGAGCTACACAGCGGCCGGCTGGAGAGTGACCGCAGACCAGCACTGGACGGCCTCGCCGCCGGGTGCTCCGGCGGGTCTGGCCGGGAGAGGCGAGCAAGCGGATGCGTTAGGAATCTAACGAATGTGAGGGCAGCGCGATGGTCTAATGATGGCTGTGCTTTCATGCGCCGTGTAAATTGTAGACTGAGTGCTATGAGCTATCAAAGGATTATCTGGTGTTTCAACAGGGGTCGCTGACCTAAAAATTAAGATGGTTGCTCTTGATACGATTGAATGCTTGGTGATATGATGATTAGCGCAAGAGAAATATTTAATCGAATTATGACCGGTTATTTTTTGATAAAGCAAAAACTTTTTTTTTTTTGGCATTAACGGGAAAGCGTTAAGCCATATCTACTGAAAATCTTAACCTGCGCCGGGCCGGGGGGGGGGGGCGATTTGCGCCCCCCCCCAGGTTTTTCGCAGATAGCCGAAAAACGGCGGCGTGCAGCGCCACCAAATTTTGCATACCTGTTTTTCCATCTATTGCGCATACTGTGTGCGAATTTTGACCTTATATGACTTAAGGTCAGGTCAACAGGTCGGTTTGAGTGACCTAACGTCACAAAAAGTTTGAACTTGCACCAAAGCTACAACTGTTGACCGATCGATATGAAACTTTCAGGAGTTAGTAAGGGTGACAATATCCACAAAATGTATGTCTCGGATTTTTTTATCTATGACCTGAGGTCAGGTCAATCTCACAACCTCCCCATTATAAGTCAATGGGATAAATTTCAACTTCATCTGAATGCCACCCGATCCACACAATATATTCAGGATCATGGTGTTGCAGGTCCCTGGTGGTCATTCTACCGAAAGATGTCACCGGTGACCTTTGGAAGGTGTCGCTAGGTCATCCGAGGTCACCTGAGGTCACCAGCGGGGGTTTTCTGCAATAACTTTTGAGTGAATAGAAATAGAGACTCTGTTCGACGTTTATCATGTTTGTCTGATCAATGCGGATCGAATGATATGCAACATGACCTATTTCAGTCAGGTCATGACCTTGACCTTAGGTCAAATTTTCAACTTGACCTTTCGAGGTCACATGATATAGCTTTCGATGCGCTTTGACAAGCTAAGAACGATGACGTTCGAATCGATCCTTTATCTTGTCTGGATCAAAAGCTATTTAAGAAAAAGTATCAGAAGTAAAAACGTTTTTTATCGCTCTTTCGAACGCCGCCTACCGCTTGTCTCTACGACGCTCAGGAGTCGAGTTAGACGGGGGGGGGGGGGGCGTAAAACCGCCCCCTCCTAAAACAACCTCCTAAACCAACCCTCCTAAAGATTTCTGCAACCGTTCTACCCTCATCACTCAACTGAATAATTCTCCCCTTTTCAAAAACGGTGCAGTGATACGGCATCTCAAACCTAGAGCGACTACACTCAAGTTCAAGCTAACGGTCTCCACTCTCCAATTCATATACCTATCGAAACCTTTCCGCGACCCGGTGCTGTGGCTCAATCAGTGGGCCAGCTGGCCGCAGACCATACCCGCAGGGCATGAACCTTTGACCATATTAGGTCAACGCGCCGTGGCCCCAGCCCGCTCGCCAGGTCCGCGCTCATTGGCCGACGCGGCAACCGCACAACCTGTCCCCTCCCCTCCGTAGTACTCGCAGCGGCCGGCGGATTCAGCCAAGTTACCGACCTGCCCAGCTTGGGGAGGGCCGGCCGGGAAAGATACATATTTGACCGACTATACATATAACAGTGTAAGTTACCGGGTGTAAAGTCAGATCCACACGGACGGTGTATGTATATGAGGGAGGGCAGGTTGTCCGTACCGAATGGGCGCTGTTACGTACCGAATGAGTGGCGTTGCGTACTGAATGAGTACTGTTACGTACCGAGTGAGTGGTGTTACGTACCGGGTGAGCGGTCGGATCGACGCGGTCGTTGTAAATGAGGGCCGGCAGGTTGTCCATCGGAGAGGCGATGATCTCGTGAAGGCCGAACTTGATTTCGTCCTTGATACCGGCACCGTACTTGGACAGAGGCTTCTGCTTCTTCCCTGACTTTTTCTTGTTTTTCCTCTGTAATCATCATTACCCGACGTTCATATATGCAAGTGAGTTTCTGAGCATTATCTCATTACCACCAAACTGAAAATTTTCCAGCTCGTATTTTACTGCTCAAAGTTTTATATGTGATACAGCGTTTGATTCATAATTCGGTAAATATGGTATGGAGGTGATGCTTTGTTACTTACGTTCTTTATTGCTTCAAACAGATCTTTCACGTCGCCGAGGTTATCCAGAGGGGCATCAACGACGTGGTAGATGCCATCTTTTGCCTCGTCCCAGACGTGCTCCAGATAGTTCTCTAGGATCGTCATCACCTGTGGGACAAAATGCAGGGTCTTCAATTACCAGCTGGTAGATTTTTTTTGCTGATTTTAGTTATAGAAAATGGGGGTCAAATATAGCCTGAAAACACTGTGACAGTTTTGTGATTTTATAAATACTTAACTGATACAATGAAGCTCAAAATACGACCAGTCTTATTGCAATCGCTAGCATTTCTGTGGATTTTTTTGTAGTCAATACAACAAACGGTGCCGTTACGAAAGATGAATTTAACCTTCGCCCCAGTGGGGGGGGGGCATATGTTACCACCCTTTCGCGTTTTTTGCGTATGAATAAAAAACCGCGCCGCGTAGCGCTGCGCCGCTTGGGGTAGCTTTTGGTACATCAATTTTGGACAATGTGTGAAATTTTTGACCCCAGGTCATGTCAGGTCAGGTCACCAGGTCAAGTTAACTGACCAAGCATAAAAAAGTTTGCAATCATGCCCAGCCTGCAGTGTTTGTCAGAAAGATTTTAAACTTGGTGGATTGCATGATGCATGATGACAATTTGTATATCTCGGATTTTGTATATCCGTGACCTAAGGTCAGGTCAGTGGCGTGACCTTTCCATTACAAGTCAATGGAGAAAAATGAAAATGCCTCTAGATCCGTGTGTACGCATAGGAACAGTCCAAATATTTCAGAATCACAATGATTTGGACCACCCGTGATGACCAGGGTGTTATTTTTGCTGATAGCCTCTAGAAAGGTCATCCGAGGTCATTTGAGGCTACAAACAGATTTTTGCCAATAACACGCGATTGGAAAGAGATAGCACGCTGGGGATGGTCTCATTGTGTTTGTCTTGCCGAGACGCATCGACTGATATGCAACATGACTTTTCCGGTCAGGTCATGACCTTGACCTGAGGTCAAATTTTCAAGTTGACCTTTCAAGGTCAAATTATAGTTCATTCGACGCGTCTCGGCGAGAGGAGCACGATTCTGGCAATAGAAATGTCGTGGCTTTTTGTTGTCGAAAGTTATTGTCAAAAAACACTTTTCGTAAAAACAGCTATTTTTGGAGTTTTTGCCCTCTGGAGGCTAAACCCGTGACCTGAGGTCAATTTTGATAATGACCTTTTCAAAAGAAGAGTTCAAGAGCTATCGATTGCTTTTCCATGCGTTTTTCTAGCTACCATAGTTCCTGAGATAACGGCATGTTTTCTGAAAAACATAATGACCATTGGCAAATTTTGACCTTTGATGACCTCTGGTGACCCCAATATTGCTCTAAGATGAAAAATGACTGAAATACTTTCAAACCTACGCATTGAGAGCTATCGACTGCTTTTTACCGCGTCTTTCTAGCCCTCTTAGTTTTTGAGTTAGAGGTGGGTGGTAACATATGCCCCCCCTCACTAGGGCGAAGTTGGCGGAGACCGCCACTGGGGCGCGGGTTAAATACAATATCAATATAGAACTTAATTTGGAAACATTTTATTGGAACGTTTGATAAATAACTTAACCCTATTAGTGGCAGGGGGGTTGTTTTCATCCACCCCTCAGGTTTTTCGGGAATATCTCCGAAACCGCTGAAGCTACGATGCTGAAATTTTCTGACTTTTCCTGAAACTAAATTGGGCACATTCCCTGAAAATTTCAAGTTCATAACTTTACCAGGGGCGGCTCCAGAGCACTGGGAATTGGGGGGTCCTATTCGTGAAGCGAGTCATTTGGGCGAAGATCACGATGCTGATGTATTATAACTGTATGCACCAGTTTTACGAACAGTGAATGAAAGGTGAATGAATGAAAGGTGAACAGTGAATGTGATAACATATACAAAGTTATTGTGCATCCTCTTTTGACACGTTTTTGCTATAATAGGCGGATCCAGGCGTCCAAAAAGGGGGGGTTATGGTTTACCTCCCAACATAGGTGCCCTGACACCGCCTATGCATGACCGATACAATTGTAGTCGTTCTCTCATAAGAAAATTGTAACATAACCCGGCAGTTGCTGGCCGCTGGGGTATTTCGCCACCCACCGTTTGCTGGGGGGGGGGGGGCGTTAAACGCCCCCAGCCGATAACTCGAGAACCAATAGGCGCAGCGAAACGCACGAGGCGGCAAACGAAAGAGCGCGACGAGACGCTTCAGATGAGTACTTTAAAGTTGAATTTTGAGGTCACAGGTCGGGTCAAGGTCAGGTCAAACACCTGAAATCGGGCTTTCAGTAGCATGGACTTCAGGACTTCGCAATGGGCGCCTCTCGCCATAAACTCTGTCAAAACGGTGCACAATCCATCTTATAAGGCCTACAAGAGTGTCAGCTCCATGTAAGGGTCAGTCAAGCATAGGTCAGGGTCAAGCTCAGGTCAACCGGGTAGGCACATATCCCCGAAAATCAAAACTGATATTCGCAGCCTGTGGCACATGTTTTATTGGTAATTTGGGGCGTAGAACACGATGGTGACATTCATTTTATCATATGTGTACGTGTTTGGCTCAAAAAGTTCAATTTAAGAAATTCATGTATCATGGTCGTGAAGTAGTCACGAAAAATTGCCAAGATTCAGTTCAAGATTATGAAAAATGCGGAGCGATAATCAATACTCGAAGATAGCCATTTGATTGACCATGGTATTGGCAGTCTAATGGCGTTTACGTCATGTCTGTATGTCTATTCTGTGATTTTATATGATTTTTTGAACATATGCCGTTTTTGGTCGAAAACTCAGAAATCATGACGTAACTAAAACCTCGATATCTCAAAAAATTTTCCGACCGATTTTTTTGAAACCTTGTCACAATAAACGTCAATCAATTCCCTACAGGCACCAAAAATTTGGCGCGCCTGCGGCGCGCCGTTTTTATGCTATGGCCCGGCGAAAAAAGTGGGGGCGTTTAACGCCCCCCCCCCCCCCCAGCAACTCGCGGGATAACAAGACCATTGCCACCCTTTTTAGAAACAGTACCAACAAAAACCTTATTTACTAATTACTATACTTTTTGTGTACCCCCAATATCAATGATCTGTATCCGCCTATGATTTTTGAAAATGCATATTTTTAGGATCCATGTGAATTCCTGGTTCATTCTCTATCGATCGGCAAAAGTTGCGTTAAGATAGCCAGGAGCCTGCCACTAATAGGGTTAACGTTCTCGCGCATACAGGGAGTAATTTACTCTGCAGAGCGCTTGGTATCAAAATCATCGTATTCAAATATAAACATATTCTATAAATTGGTGCCTTCAGATATGACGCATTTTACGTGAATGCAAAATCGCACACTTCCTTACCGTGTTGAGTATTGCTTTTTGAAGTTTACTTCCATGGTGCTTGCTGTTCTTGCCGCCATGGTGATGGTGTTTACTGGAAGCGGTCTAAACAGAAAATATATATTAGTCGACATTCAGCCTCATTCATGGGAACGATTCGAATAAACTAGGAAATGCATATCTTTATTCGTTATTTCTGAGGTCTTCATAAGATGTAGTTTGTTTCCGAACATGTATGAAAAATGGAATCTACATACTTATTACTTAATTGCGTTATGTCTATGTAGAGGCATGGGACAATTACGAACATTCAGTTCGAGGTGCACAATGATCTCACAACACACTGTTTAGATGTTCACAGTTCACGGCTCATTCGGCTACCGAGACTCTGTCTTATTTGTCTGTTCTTCAAGTGTCCTTATTTATCGCCTTACGCAGGATGTGCTGTGACATCTTAGCATGTCTGAATTCCCAAAGGACAGGGGTCTGTCAATAGACCGACCGTGTACAGACTATTGTGCCGTCTCTTAGTAGTCCCTTCGAGGAAAATCAAGCGTTCAAAGAGAACGGTGGCATTATTCGGAACACGTCTCAGCAGAGGAGAGCATTCACTCAATCAAGGCGCTGGAGCCTGTTCCAATATTGGACTCACGATGAATAGCTGCTGGCTGGAGGAATGGTTTGTTTTCGCAAGTTTGTATGGGTATCTCAACCTATTGTCGCTCTTCTCTGTAATGTCCGGTTTAAGGCAAAGAAAACTGATTGGCAAGCCTTTTGTTATTGGGTTCAAGCACTTCTTTTTATAGCATCCTTATTCCTACAAAAGAGAAGACTGCAACCAAACGAGAAAAAAATATCAAGATCTCGACATCTCAGCAATTTCGCCTTGTTTGTGTTGCTTTGAGCTGAGGAAATCGCATTATTTTACTTTTTTGGTTAACCCTCGCCGGCCGAGGGGGGGGGGGCGGGTGCCGCCCCCCCCCATAGGTTTTTTTCGCGATAGCTCCGAACACGCTGGCGATAGAGAGCTGAAACTTAGCAGACCTGACCTTTGATTCAAGCCGGATCTTTTAACACTACCCGCATTTTTGAATCAGGTCAGGTCACTGACCTATGACGTCATAAGTGAACCTCTGCACGGTCTTCAGATGTCGCAACTTCGCAACGCCCTCACTGCCAGAGGAGATGTCACAGGGAAATGAAACTTGCAGGATCTAGTATCCATTATGAGTCTCACAACTTGTATATCTCGGATTTTTCCTAAAAGTTATATGAGGCCAGGTCATTTTCGTGACCTCACAATTATAAGTCAATGGGGAAAAATGAAAACTGCTATTCTGGAGCCGGGAACGATCTCCAACTATCTCAAGCACACAGAATCGTGATTTGATGCACTCCTTGCAAGATAAGATGCGTCACTTTTGCAATGTTGACATTGCGTGACGTCATTTATGACGTCATCAAGGTCATATTAGTTTTTCGTCAATAACTCTTGATAAAATTGAGCTAGCGAGTCGGGAAAGCCACCAATGGACTCAGGAAGACCGGCCGAATCGAATGATAGGCGACATGACCTCTTTTGACTAACTTCGTGACCTGGGGCTGCTGACCTGACCTTGACCTGAGGTCAACACCCCAAGTTGACCTGACCCGGACAAAAAGTATATCATTCGACGCGCCTGAGCGAGGCGAACACGATGCTGCCAAAATCGCGGCTCTGCGCCCGTTTTTTGCGAAGTTATTCATCAAAAACTGAACCGTACCTTGGGGCACTTGACCTGACCTCAGAGGTCACCGGTTGACCTAGGACCTTAAAATCGGGTACTAATCTCTGCGTCTCGTAACGGCGCACACGCTCGTTTTTTCCCACGACGCGCTAGCTCCACCAGGGGCGAAACGGCGAGGGGGGGGGGGTCGTACCCGCCCCCCCCCCTCGGCCGGCGCGTATGTAGAAAACCAATAGGTCCGGCGAGGGTTAATACTTTCTATGAGATTAGTTTCATTTAACGGAGTCAGGAAATCAAGTTGACCGAAGTAAGTGCAGGCAGACAAATAAGGCAATCCACGCCGGAAACAGGTTCAGTTTACACATCCGTTTCGTTGACCTTTGTGCGCTATTCAATTAACAAAGTTTCCGAATTTTCGCTGGATTTAGCATAGTTACCTCTAAGTACCTACTTGTAGAAACATAACATAATGTTGCTTTATCCAAAAAACGATTTTCATTATAAAGCAAATTGAAAAAAATGAAGCTTACCTGGGCAAAAATGATCAAAAACACGAGTGAAAATTTCACCCAAAAACAACTTTTCCACATAATCAAAGCGATGAGCACTTTTGGGTGGCTACCGGCAGAGCTGTGTCATAATAGACGGTATGCCATCGTCGACACGTGTTTATATGATGAACAGCCAGCCACGGCCTTGCCTCCTGCAATATGCAATTCGTGCCAGCGATAAACGTAGATAGGTACTGTAGCAGCCTTGTGGGCATCCGCCTCATCCACCATTGACGCCGATCGACAACGGATAGTGGAAGCATTCGACAAACACTCAAACGATGTGCTTATTTGTTAGTCGTTTGGTGGCGGATAATGCGTGCGATATCACCTACAGTTTCACGCTCGCTCTGTTCTGTGGCAAGGTTGGCATTTGAACCGCTACCGGCTACATGCATGTGAGCGTGTGTGACTTTGGAGTGTTTGCTTTCATCGCAGCTCATGTTCCGGTCCCATTATTTCCCCATGACACCCAGTGTTTGACGAGAAGTCCCGGTGCCCTGACCAGGCGTCCCACGGAGTATGGAGGGCCTGAGAGAAACCTCCCTCCCTTTCTCCCTCCCCGTCTGCCGGTCTCGGTCGTCGCGGCCCAGCCGTGAAAACCGTGTCAGCCGCCTGGCACCTCTCACTTTCCAGGGCAGCGCAGCTGACACCAGCGCTGTATCACAGGAGGTGCCGACCGCCGCGCCCAGTATCTGACGCCGCACCAGCACTCGGAGCTCCAGCGGAGGTGGCGGGTGCCGCACCCAGCACCCGAGGACCAGCGGAACCGTCCCAGCACCCGAATACCAAGGCAGAGCCGCGCCCAGCACCCGAGTACCAACAGAGCTGGCTGGTGTAGCAAACAGTCGATCTTGTTCTGACGCTGTGAAGGAATCTCATCGCTTAAATATAACTAAGCGATGTCAATGCGAATTTAAATCGGTTACCAAAGCATGCCATTTAACCCGCGCCCTGCTGGGGGGGTGTTTGAACACCACCTTGTGGTTTTTCGCGAATATCTCAAAAACGGCGGCGCGGAGCGCCGCCGTTTTTGGTACACCTTATCATACATCAATTCCACACATGTTGTGAAAATTTCAGACCAAGGTCATTCAAGGTCAGGTCACCAGGTCACTTGAAGTGACCTCACCTCATAAAAAGTCTCAATGTCTGTCATAGCTACACCGAGTGACCGATCGCTTTGAAACTTTCAGCGATTGCTAAGAGCAATAGCATGTACAAAATGTATATCTCAGAATTTTGATATCGATGACCTAAGGTCAGGTCAATTTTGCGACCTCCCCATTTATGTCAATGGGAGAAAATTGAAATGCGCCTCTTTTGGACGAAAGACATTATAAAAACTCCCAAACACTGAATTACAAGTGGTTTAGACACACTGAACATGAAAATGGTGTCTGTGACCCCTGTTTATGCCCTGAGGTCATCTTAGGTCACGAATGGTATCTAACAGTTTTTCGCAAATAACTTTTGATAAAGGCATGCTAGAGCGATGAAAACGCCTTAGATGTGTTCAGCTCGACGATACGGATCGACTGATATGCAACATGACCCTTTCCGGTCAGGTCATGACCTTGACCTGAGGTCAAATTTTCAAGTTGACCTTTCAAGGTCAAGTTATAGTTCATTCGATGCGTCTTGACGAGAGGAACACGATACCGGTAAAAGTAAGCTCGTACAAGGCTTGGGTCAAAAGTTATTGCAGAAAAACTGTTTCCGAAAAAAATCGGCTATTTTTGCAGTTTTTGCCCCCTGCAGGCAAAACCGTTGACGTTAGGTCAAATCTGAGAAAATTGCTCAGAAAGGGCGTTAATAGGGCTATCGAATGCGCTTTTCCGCGGCGCCGTAGCTCTATTGGTTCCCGAGTTATGCGTTGGCTTCTTGGAAATTGTCGACATTCGACCTGGAAATCGGCGAAATTTTGCCTTCAATGACCTCTGGTGACCTGACCTTTGACCTGACCAAAAAATTGACCTAAGTGATTTCCTCATTATTTTTGACGCTCTTTCGAACGCCGCCTTCCGCGTATCGCTACGTGGCCCAGGAGCCGAGTTAGAAGGGGGGGGGGGTGTTCAAACACCCCCCCCAGCAGGGCGTGGAAATCCAGGACCCCCAGCCGGGCGCGGGTTAATATTCAGTGTTGTGCTCGGGCCTGTCAACATAAGATGAGACATATCTTCATTTTGACGTAATTTGTAACTTATTGATTAATTTTCTTTTCTTTGGAAGGTCATCATCAGCGAATAAACGAAACATTCCAAAACCAATGCTGTTATGATCAGGGTGTCTCAAAAAAGTGTCACAGTTTTGAACATCTCCCGTTTCGTAACCATAAGTCCTACATCATTCAAATTTTCTAGATTTAGTGGCAACGTTTTGACATTATATGTAGTAAAATTACAAGTTCCTAGGCAGAATGGTTTTTACACAAGAACAAAAAAATAAAAAAGCTCAACTTTCGTGCTGTAGGAGATGGTACGTCACAGCCTGCCGTCGATCCTGAAAAATCTGGGCCTCTTTCGCCTGATCATGAATCCAGAAACAAGCTCAGCAATGCATTTTTGAAACCTTTATAAGTAAGAACACCGTGTACAACTGCCGTATGGAGCACAGCAGCAAGCTGAAGCACAGCCACAAACATGGGCAACGATCAACACTGATTTTCAGACGACGCGAGTTTCCATGCCTCGACAGTCGACGGCTTCATCTCTGATGGCAAAATCCTCCACTCGGTTTTGTTCCGAAACACATAAAGAGAAGGAAGGATAGCTGGACAGTTTTAAAGTTCCTACTCAAACGTGCACAGCTTCTGGGTGTGCGCAATGTGGCAGTGTGTCACAAGACCTTTGCACGGTGTCAGCGACTGAAGCTTTTGACGTAAGAGTCAGGCATGGCAACGGCGCTGTTCTGAGACTAATGGGTGTTTGCAATGCCATTGTCTGTTTTGCGTGACGTTTTTGGTCCCTAATAGTTGTACCTAATTACTGACGAGCATGTTGCTGGGTGCAACAAGCGAAAGCCGGAGTCTTACCGAAATCGTCGGCAGACTGTGACGTATACCATCTCCTTAGCGCCCAAAATTGAGATTTTTTTTTATTTCTTGTTCCGGTGCAAAAACCATTTTGCTTAGGAACTTGAAATTCTGCCACACAAAACGTCATAATATTGCCACTAAATCTGGAAAATTTGAACGATGTAGGTCATGTAGTTAGGAAATGGGAGATGTTCAAAACCGTGACACTTTTTTGAGACACCCTGTACTGTCATTCCATGATCTGCAGCGCCGAGTTCCAACAAAATCCGTTCAAACCAACTTGACTACTGTACTTACAATTCTTATTTCTTGCGGTAGAGTAAGTGTTGTTAGTGTTACGCTTGCTTTCCATATGCATAATACCGAAACACATAACAGGCTAAATATAAAAAATTATCCGCAAATTTATGTACCGTACATAAATGCACAGGAAGTGCATAAACAATAATTAAGCAGTTGCCGAAATGAAACAGAATGACTTTCAGTTAAAAAATGTTTGTTTTCTGGTTATGAGCACCATAATGACTCCAAATTCTCACATTCGTTTGTGCGGATGGGATACCGCCGCACCACCTGCCAACCGGCGGTCATTGCGCCATTCTGCCACAGCCAGTGGTCATGCTCATGATGTCATGACACCGTCCTGCCACGTGGACTCGCAGTGTGGAGGTCATGACACCGTGGACTCACAGTGTGGCGGTCAATCATGACACCGTCGTGCCACAGTCAGCAGTACAGTCATGGCACCGTGGACTCCCAGTGTGGCGGTCATGACACCGTGGACTCACAGTGTGGCGGTCAATCATGACACCGTCGTGCCACAGTCAGCAGTAGTCATAACACCGTGGGCTCGTGGTGCAGTGTGGCGGTCATGACACCGTATCTTACAGCCGACACCGCCCTGCCCCATCCAACGGTTATGATAGCATGGTCTAAGCCAGCGGCGGTCATGACACCGTTGTCTCACAGCCGGCGAACATAACGCCTGCATGGTCCCACAGTTAGCGACGATCATAACACTACTCTCCCACAGTAACTGCCGGGTCATATCAGGCCCACAGCGTCTGGGCGCCAGCCGAGAAAGTGCCCCGTGGTAAGTACATACGAGGCGCACCCGGCGGGTCGCCGCCCACCGATGACCCGGCCCGCTGCTTGGGCGCACACAAAAACTGCGGGTCACCCCTGCGGCGGGCACGCGTCGCGATCTGTAACGATGTATGGCGCCGGTGGTGACGCTGAGATACGGCGAGAAAGCGCCCGCCGGCCACAGAGGGTGGGACAGAGACGGAGACGGAGACGGAGACGGAGACGGAGACGGAGACGAAGACGGAGACAAAGACGGAGACGGATACGGAGACGGAGACGGAGACAAAGACGGAGAGTCAGGATAGCGAAAGACACTAGACGGAGACGGAGGTTCAGGGTAGTGAGCGACACTAGAAGGAGACGGAGGGTCAGGGTAGTGAGCGACACTAGACGGAGACGGAAACGGAGACGGAGACGAAGGCTAGCGAACGACGCTAGACGGAGACGGAGGGTGGTGATCAGCTCTAGACGGAGATGAAGATTGGAACGGAGACGAAAACAATTTGCATCGGGCGATGATAAATACCAATAATACTCATTTTGTCGTTTCCGCTTCCGCATTGGTGTCTGGCCGACATTAAATGATAATTGGTTATTATTTAATGTTAATAATTGGTCAAGTAGGTAGCGGTTTTCACGACGGGCTATCTGGCGAATGCACCTCATTTGACCAAATCTGTACTAAATCTCTATTGCAGCAAATATCTTTATCCCGCGCCGTGCTGGTGGCCTGTGTTTTCCGTGTCGTGCTGGTGGGGGGGGGGGGGGGGGCGTTTTCACGGCCCCTCTAAATAGGCTCCTGGGTCACGTAGCGACACACGGTAAGCGAAAATTGGAAGAGCGTCAACAATAATGACGGAAACACTTCGGTCATTTTCTAGGTCAGGTCAAAGGTCAGGTCACCAGAGGTCATCAAAGGTCAAACTTAGTCTATTTCAATAATTTTGGAAATTGCCAACGGCTAACTCGGGAACCAATAGAGCTACAGCGCCGAGGAAAAGCGCATTTGATAGCCTTTTACAGACCTTTCTGGACTTTGTTCTCAGATTTGACCGCAGGTCAACGGTTTAGCCTCCAAAGGGCAAAAACTGTATAAAAAAACGTTTTCACGAAAACTGCCTTTCGGTAATAACTTTTGACTCAAAAGAGCCACGACTTACTTTTGGCAGCATCGTGTTCCTCTCGTCGAGACGCGTCGAATGAATTATTTGTTGACCTTAAAAGGTCATTTGGAAAATCTGACCTCAGGTCAAGATCATGATATGACCGGAAAGGGTCATGTTGCATATCAGTCGATCCGTATAGTCGAGCTGAACACATCTGACGTGTTTTCACCGCTCTAGCACGCCTCTATCAAAAGTTATATAAAAAACTGCTGGTGACCGTTCATGACCTGAGATGACCTCAGGGCACACAAAAGGGTCACAGGTACATTTTTCTGATTCAGTGTGTCACGTCTACCTTTGAACCGATGTTTGAGAGGGTCTTGAACGACATTCGTCCAAAAGAGGCGCATTTCAATTTTCTCCCACTGATTTATAATGGAGATATCGCAAAACTAACCTGACCTAAGGTCACAGATATAAAAAAAATCCAAGATGAACATTTTATGCATATTGTTACTCGTACCAATCACTGAAAGTTTCAAAGTGATCGTTCAGTTGGTGTAGCTATAGCGAGCCTTTGAACTTTTTCTGAGGTAAGGTCACTTAACGTGACCTGGGCCTCGTTTCATAAAGCAAGTCCGTAACTTACGTCGGTTTTTGGTCTAGAATTGCAAGTGCCATGAAGCGATGACGATAGTTTGAATCGTTGAATTTATTTATCTTGTAAGCAAGAACAGAAGGGAGAGAGGGAAATAACTTAATCGCTTCACATGCACTTGCAATACAGGACCAAAAACCGGCATGAGTTACGGACTCGCTTTATGAAATGAGGCCCTGGTGGCCTGACCTTCAACGACCTAGGTCTGAAATTTTCACATGTACGGAACTGATGTCTAAACAAATGTTCCAAAAATGGCGGCGATGCGCGCCGCCGTTTTTGAGATATTCGCAAAAAACCTGAAGGGGGCGTAAAACGCCCCCCAGCTCGGCGTGGGCTAAATTATGAATTCATTTCAGTGTTTTAGTCGATAATAATTTCTGATAGTATACCAAAGAAGGCATATGAACATTGAACAATTAGCGGAACCCTAGCTAATAGCTACGAAGAAACGCACTTAACCTAATTTGACCAATTCTGCATCAAATTTGACCTAATGTGTACCAAATGTGTACCAGATAGCCGTCGTGAAGACGGTTAGTATCGTGTTGTTAATTTCTACCCTAGCTAACTACATATGTATGTAGTTATGTAAGTTTGGGTGTATGCATTGTCTAATGTTTATGCAAGTAAGTATACTCTAAGGTCACTGCGGGCACTATACATTCTGCGGGTTTCGCTGGATATTGCAGTGCGCTGCTGGTATTTACTTCATAACTTTCACGATGATTGGACTGTATTTATAGGCCACCAAGTCAGTTTCCTTCACCCCAACTTTGTTTATCAGTTGATTAGCTATCCACTCTCTGAGCAGAGCTGAGAAGAAAGCGGCTCGGCTCGTCGTCGGCTCCTCGCTGCCCGGTCATGGCTCGGTTACTCTCGATCTCGACTGGGGCCCGGTATAAAAGCAGTTCGGGGCGAGGCAAGCCGCAGTGTCTGCCTCATAGGCCATCCTGTCACCATGCGTTTCTCCGGAGCTGTGAGTTGAGCGCTACTTCTCGAGAGTGGCAGAGTGCTGTTGGACGAGAGTTGAATGTGTCGGGAGAGTGTCGATTGCTCAGATGCTGCTGGGGAGTGCTGGGTGACTTTTCCCAGTAACCAATGCTCCAAGCAGTGATAGTTGTGCATACTTTTTCTCAACACACGCTGAGAGTGACTTAGTGAAGAATGTGTTTCCGGACATGATTTCTTGGTGATTGTTCCGATCATGAAAAACATTCATGTTCATAACAGGGCAATGGATGACGCGCATAGCCCTCAGACATTTTAATGACTTTTTGCCAATGGGCTATTGCTATATTGTTTCACTTCAGTCGCTTAGACACTAAATGTGGTGTAATTGTGAGCGTCTAATTCAAAATTGCACTGATTTTAATATAATCTTCCATCCTTGCTGGCATGACTTGTGGTATCGCATGACAAAAGCTGACATTTCGTCCCTACAAGATGACCCGTCTCGTCCTGACCGTGACCTCGGAGACCTGACCTCTGTCCGACAGCTGACCCTGCTGGCTGTGGCCGTGGCCTGTCTGCTGGCCATGGCCGCTGCCGTGCCCCAGGGATACGGAAAGCCCAAGGAGGGCAGGGTCAAGATCCAGGTGAGCATACCTCCTTTTTTGGTGTGGAGCATAATGAAAGGGCTGAGATAAATTATTTTGCCTGTGATGAACCGAAGCTAAAGGAGCTGAACTAAAAAGACCAATCGCTTTACTATCACCTAGCTATGTAATATGCATATTTTCAATTTTGTTGAGAAATAATTGAGAAATACGAGTCATAACCTTTTAGCCTACTGGCAATTACGATAAAATGTCAACGTTTCCATTCACTGCTATTGTATGTAGCCAGTTATCCAATCCCTGTTCCATTTCGGTGACCTGCCTCTGTGACTGGTACCTCTAACCCCGCTTGCCCTCAGGCGTACCGCGGCCCGAACCAGCACAAGGTCGGCGATGGCTACCATGAGGAATACTTTGCCCCGTTCGGCTACTACGTCCAGCAGCCGGAGGACGACAAGCCCAAGTACCACTGAGCTGCTCGGAGCGACCCTGCAGCAGCGACGGAGCCCGCTCACTACCGCAGAGGTCAGTGTAGCGTCAATGATCGAGCGGGATACTCAGGAACAGGAGGAACGCTAATAACAGCTGACGGTCAAAAGGGTTGGTACGAAAAGTATTTAGCGGGTAAGAATCATTCGACGAATGGAAATCACTTGAATTTGTGTGAATAGTTGGGTGTAGTTCCGCTGTTCTTATCTCACGCCTAAACGTTTACGATTTTTCCATTTTTATGAAGCTTGATTATAAAATGTTGACGTGCAGTGCATTCATTTTGTTGCAGAACCAAGCCCACTAGTCTTTTCATCAGCCGGCCGTGGCGGGGTCGGAGCTCCGGTGGCTGATCCGCTCTGCCCCTCCCTGGCTGACCCCGCTCTGTCCCCTCTGCCGAGGGGGCGCCGGCTGACCGGGGCGCGCAGGGGACCGTTATCCCACCGCCCCACTGCAGTGCCGGCCGCACCACCCAGCGCCGCGCTATTGTTGATCATGTACCCGCATGTTGTTGAATACATATGACGTCACGTGTTGGACCAATGCTAGAATATTTTAATCGGATGAACGATAGACGTACTAACACCCAACAACATCCACTCAACCCTGAGTTTTATCGAAAGGCGTTGCCTTTTCACACGTTGTGGTCGTGCCCCGACTCGTAAATGCAGTATTTCGAGTCGGGAAATAGTGTATTCACCCCGCAGCTTGGCCCCCGGGGCCACGAAACGAGAAAGGAAAGACAAATTTTGCAAGGTCGGCAGGAATTATAAGCAGTAGGTATTTTGATTAGGCTTTGGTCAAACCAAAGGTCAAGTCACCAGAAGTTATCAAAATACGAATTTTGACTTTTTACAAATCGACTTTAAGCTCATAGATTTAAAGGTGGGGTGGGGCGTAAAATGTTTGTAACCCTTGTCAAAATGAGTTTGACAGCTAAACATTCTGATTAAGATAAAACAAAAACAAAAATTCGAACTATTTGTGTTCACTAATGGCATCTAAACAAAAGAAAATTGTGCGTGCTGACAATTTTTTGCTATCCCACCAAATCCATTTGATAAAAACACTGACGTATTTACCTTTTACCTACTCTCAATCTGATTCGATTTTACCATGATATCGTGATATTATATTTTCCTAAAATCACACAACGAACTGCTCTGTGAATAATTTTGATTTACTAATTAGCGAAACACTATTATTCGTTGTACAAACTTCATTCGTAAATTACTCGATTCGCTAAGCATCAATAGTGTCGCCCAAGAAAACAGACAGCTACATTCGCTTCAGATCATGGTTCCAAAAAAAAACTTCAAACATGCAAACATATATTACAACATATAAAACAGTGCGTCTCTGGATATGCAAGTACAAATATACGCTTTTGAAATTCTTTTATCACAATTTTGCAACACCTTTTTATGGAGGCCGCTCATTATCCGGCAACTCCGTGTGAAGTTAGTGACGTTACGTGACATAACATGACGTATTTACGTAGTGTGAACAAAAGTGATTCCCAAAGTGTTTGGTCAACATAATGACAAAACAAGCTTACACAGTCTTTTTATGTAGACACGTACTTCAGACGCCATTAGCTCACAACTGCGAATCTTTTATCATAATGCCGGCAAGCCAGTGGCTAACACAGTAGCACACTCAAATTTGTAAATATACAATTGATACCGATTGTGTATTCAGGGGTACTTGTTACAAACTGTTGAGTCGTCGTTCATAGCCGTGTAAAGGCTTAAAGTTCCTACACGTTGTAATTCAGTCACTTGCTGCAAAGCAATCCCGTATCAAGAGAACACGCAATATTTCTTTTAGTTTTCAAACAGCTATATATGATGTGCGTGCTGGCAACCAAACAAAGATCGCAGCCTGCATATCTAATGCCATCATCAACGCAACAAGTGTAGCAATATTTTGATATGTATGCGCAAATGGCAAATATCACAAGTATTTTGACGTAGTGTAAACTAAAAACGAAGTAAAGAATTTATACATATGCTCCAGCTTTTATCACTAAGCATTTTTTCTGGCTTTTTCATTGGACAATCTTGAATCTGGAAACGCCCAGTGCCATTAATTGCAATAATAAGCACCTTAATAGTAACTTTAAAATTGCTTGTTAACTGTAGATTTGGTGAGCGTTTCAAGATGTCATGTTTTTTGCTCATTTTTACTTGAACATGACCTCAGTTTGACCTCAATAACTCCTGACCCAAAAGGTGACCTGTGACTTGAAATTTTGTGTGAAGGTGTCAAATTGATGCCCGGAAAGGTACTGAAAATTTGGTGGCGCTGCGCGCCGCCGTTTTCTCGCTATTTACGAAAACCACAGGATGGCCAAAATGGCCCCCCCCCCCCCTCTTCCATCAGGGCACGGATTGACTATTTATGAGTCAGACTCGTTTATCTCAAGGCAGTTAACTATTCCTATTAAAAAAACGAATTGCCTTTGCTTCCCTGATAATTGTTATTTTTATGCAATTATTACAATATAAGACAATGTATCTATTTTTGAATGCAGGAATTTCCTTTTAGACGTAAATTTAGGATTTTATGCTGAACATCGTTTGCTGACTAAAAAATACCCAAATAAAACACACAATTGGCCCCATTCCAATAAAAAGATACAACGCACACCAGTTCACATATGAACACTCGTCCATTTAAGTACAATTACATATGGGGTTGCGCTATGTGTGTTTGTTTCCAGTCTCGCAGACACTTCGATCAATTCAGTCGCATCTTAATGACGTCTATGACAGGTGTCTCGGAGCATCAGCATTCATTTTAATTGCGCTATTTACAATGTGTGTACATTTGAAACACGTTTAGCTTAATATTTCGTGCTGTCGAAGAATAAAAAGTGATGCAAAATAGCTGTCCATTTTCTCCAATTGTAAGCAAATCTTGAGATACTGCATCTGTCCATTTCCAAGCATTACTTTCTACTATGGTCAAACTGCAAACATATCCATCAAACAATAAATAAATATGGATGAACAAAACACAAAAGCGTCACTTAATACATCAGTGGAAAGAAAATGATCGAAACAACGATCCTATAAAGTTCAGTTACACTTCTTTATGGTACAAAACATCACCGATCCTTGTCAAATGCAAGCTTTCGACGTATTGCCAGTCCGTGCGATGCATTATTTTACGGTTGCACCACTTCAACGCGATACAATGCATGTGTAATGCTTCATGTAGTTCAGCATTCAGGAACGAGTTACTGACTAAACTGAAAACCATTTTATACCAACAAGGTGTAAAATGTATTGGTAGGGTATGCTCGTGTGTATCAAGCAATACCAATAGCAGACTGATAGATGATTTCCAAACATAATTCATGTGGTAGGTAAGCCATGTTGAATAATACAAGTTCGCCGATAAATCTTACAAATAACCGATGACCGAGTAGCATACAAAAGTTAAGAAATCAACGCAATCGGCGTCACCCATTGCCTTTGGCGCCTGATCCTCTTTGCAGTGCAGCTGCATGACCTCTTGATAACTGCTAAGGATTCTTTTTCTCTGGTACGGTAAGATGCGACTCTTATGGTGTCGTAAAGTCGGTGTTATGCGCTGGCGATGGGTGCGATTGCGTGTCCAGCTCCTGTGCATCAGCAGCAGCATGACGCAGTTTGACACGCCTGCTGCTATTAGTCAGGAAGTGGTGGGAAGTTGCCCTGTCGGCCGTCTTGGGTCGCCGGCGGCGGTGTCACCGTCACTCGTGGGCGCTCAACTCGGCGGCAGGTGGCTGAGTGATGACGATACGACCGAGCGCGCTCCAAGCCATCCCATGGAAAGTGTTCAGTCGAGCGTGAGAAGCATTTCACTTGACAGTGAGCTGTATGTCGTTCAGATCCCGGTTTCTCTCGGCGAGCGGCGAGCTGCCGATGCGGTCGGCCGGGCGGACCAGTCGGTGTGTTCGTGCTGCCATCTCGGGAGTGAGAGAGATACTTCTGAATCCGGCAGTGGCCGCCGGGTGGCTGCGATCGCCCGTGCCCAGCTCCGGGCGTCCATGAGTTGTGCGGTGCTCTCTCATGTGGCTTAGAGACCCGGCTGCAACGACACAGAGGGTGACGTCAGAAGAGAATGGTTTCAGAGATTGCGTTAAGAGATTTGAAACTAAGAAATATCAAGACCCGTAAGCGGAATTATTGTTGAACAATTCATCTCCTTTGAAAGCAATCGCTATATCGACACCTTTTTTAAACCCCACATCTGTTCTCCGGTGAATTTCCGGGAAGCACGAAAGATCTCTTTATAGAAGTGTCCAATCGTCCGATCCTGATCAAATTTGTGTGTTCGTAAGCTTGCTCTGGCATTGCTTGATCTGCCAAGACAGACAAACTTGAGAAAAATCAAGTGACTGTACCTTTTTTGAAGGTTTCTAAACAACTTGTCTGAACTTCACGGGAGAACAAATGTGGGGTTTAAAAAGAAGGTGTCGATATGTCACATTGCAAGGTAACAATTTTATTCCTCTCATCATCTCATGCATTTTGTGCAAGACGTGCATATTATAAGTTTTTCAATACACCACAGCGCTAGTCTTTGAGAGCTCACGGGTTAATGACGACTGCCCTTGGCCACCTGAGCAGTTCATCACTGGCTTAGAAACACTTTCATCACACTTTTCTATCAGCGCTCCACTTCGATGAAAAGCATGCCTACTAATTTTCATAGTTCATGACTCAATATTGTTGACATGCATTGCATGTCAGGTTGATGTTTCTTAATTCGTTTCAGATCCTTCTGCCTTCTAGCGCGTCCTACATGTCGTCAAAAACTGTTCCTTGTCATGCGGTACAGCATAGCTACAGGCGTATACCACTAGCGACATCTATTGACAATACTGTCAGTCTGACTGTGCCTTGCGGCGCAGTATCACATCAAGCGTTTATTTCCGCCGGCATCCCGCATCTGACTACTATAGTAGCACATAGGACAGCTATGTAGTTACTAGTCTACCCAATGCACCATGCTATCGTAGTTAAAGGACACTCAGTCCCTATTCACAAAATGCACCCGTCACCGACAATAGTGTACCCTGTACCCATTGTTCGGCCGCGCCTAACGACTGCAATGTTTTGTTCAGTCTCCCCTCCGCCTGTGCCCAGTTACAAATAGACTCTTATTAGTTGTCCTCCTCCATGTCCCATACCCCTCCCGAATGAAGTAACACAACTATAGGCCTGCAATATGCATGTGCACAGTGCCTGCAATTAGATAATCGGTAGGTATTTTATGCCAAAACGGTCTACTCTCATTTCACTGACCATGCAATTCATGGGTGATCGCCTGACGTTGCACAATCGAAGGATGTCGTTGATAGGTAGGAGCTATACGCGCACTTTGGTGACAAAATGAGCATGAGTCTTCAATAACTTCACCTTCCGCTACATTTGGAGTCGCTTAAAAAGTTTCTTCAGAATGCCAAACGCTTTTTTTTTACCTTTTAGGCACTGATGTGCTGAATGCTGAGTGATATTGCTGTCAGTTTAGAGCTCATGCTATTTTTGTTCAGGTTGTTTTTACAATGCAGCATGAACCAAATATTAAATTTCACTAATTTCCTCCTGGTAATTCCAATGTTACACAGCCTCAAACAATAAAGAGTAGATTAAATTGTTCATCTCAGATCAATCAGCTAAACATACGCCAGAACATTCCATGAATCCGTTGCAGCGTGCCGAGTCAGTGTCACCTTGTCTGGAGCTTTTGTCAGTGGGCGGCTACTCGGATGACGGCTGATTCTAGTCAGTCAGTCCTACACTCCTGATGCGTGGCTGATGATTGGGTAATAGGCATGGCTCTTTGGGCGGCGCTCGCAGCTGACATTGGTCTTACATGGGCTGTGCCTAACTCTACTTCGGGGATAGTGACGGAGCGGTGGCTAGCATTAACCTTATACGGATCATCTCTGGCTCTCCTGAGGGGTTGGGGACGAAGCGATGGCTAATATTTTCCCAAGATACATGGACAATGATGGACTCCTCGGATGATGGCTGATTCTAGCCAGTCAGTCATACTTGGTCCGAGCGTGGCATGGATGGTAATGTAGGGCACGGCGCCTGGGGTGCGGTGGATGACGCTGGCTCAACATAGGTCGTGTCTGGCTCCACTGAAAAGATGAGGGATGGGTAATTCGTATGAAAAATGACATTTGGTCATACACGGATCGTGCCTGGCTCCTGTGAGGGATGGGTAGTTGGTACGAAGTGGTGGCTAAAATTGTCTTTATATGGGTCGTGCCTGGCTCTATATATTGGGAGGATAGGGGCGGATTGGTGACTTACAGTGTCCCACATCGGCCGTGCCTGGCTCCTGTAAGGGGATAGGCACGAAGCAGTGGCCGCAACACGCCCAGTTGAATACTTAATGGCGCCTGATGGCACCGGCCCCCAGCCAACGAGGACCTCAGGAGCACGCGATGGGCCCACTGCTAGACATTGCACGCCGCGCCGGGCCGTGCCATGGAGCCAACGACCTGGAATTAAGAGTCAGCTATAGGAACTGAGAACAACGGTCCACAGGAGGACCGGGAGTCGCCCCACGGGCCGGTGACACTGGTCTGATAAGTGGTCGACACCACAAGATCATTGGTGAAAAATCATTTTCAGGTGGAGGACGAAAATGAAAAGTCCTGAACAACCAAAACTTGAGGCCAGATTAAAAATAGAATTATTTTTTGAGAGGGCAAGCTGCTCATTAGGCGCAGGGACATCGGAATGAAGGGCAATACTATTGTATTTTGTGGATCAAACACCTTACGATTTTTACACCTTACCTTTTGCCTGAAATGTCATTTAAATGTAGCAAAATAGCAGCCTTCATGTAGAAACTCATTGCTCACCTATTACAACAAGTGATAATTACTCGGCGTCACGAACAACACCACCGATCATTATTTATCATAGCCCCTGTCGTGCAATACACCCATTATGTGCCCGAGTAATGCACCTCGTCACCTGTAGACTGTTGCCGTGTCCCTGTCGTTCGTGTACCCTGTCCCATAAATACAACCGTCACGCACTGCCGCGGCGTATGCATGGAATCCTGTGTAGGAGCACGGCCGGCCGGTCCGACTGGCGTTGGTGGCATCGCTGCGTGGAGCGCCGGCATCTTAATGGCACCGAGGCAGTTGGCACCGGCGGCAGACCCCGTATGTCTGCCAGTGCAGCTAACGAACGGGCGGCCAGGGACGGCACTAACGCTCTCCGCCTCCCTCCGCGTCAATATTGAGCGGCTGCGGCACAGCGCGCCGGCCTGAGTGGGCATTGAGCCGACCCTGGCCCTGTCGATCGCCTGCCGCGTTACATGCAAAATGGCGCTCCTCATCAATTGGGAAACTTCAATGCGGCAGCCAGTTGTGCCGACTATTCGGCAGCGTTGAAGGCCGATTGCCACCATCAACGATAAATTGAGCTATTCACTGTTCAAATAGCTGATTGTCATAAAATGATATAAAAGTGTTGACAGTCGTCTGAAATTTAGTCAGCGGTAAAGGAATAGAATCAGCGGTTTCTGAATGCGGTTGGAATAGTTTCGGCGCTGATAACTCTGTTTCATTTTATGTTTCAGCCATGGTGAAATTGAATTTCAGCGCAGCGCAGATAGATAAAATAGAATGCCATTCTGTATTGGGTCCCATCTCCATCTAATACTGAACGCCGCGCATATACAAGCAGCATGCAGCAGAGCTGCAGCTCAAAAGACGTGTGCTCTTAGCATCATTGCAAATCTCGAGGTGAAAACGTGATTCATCTTCCTGTACAGGAATTTTGCAAAAATCATGCAGTGGGTGAAACTTGTCGGCCATCCGTCTTCCGTAACGAGTTCATGCCGCGACCGGTGGTGACGGCTGTCTCTGCTGAAGGCTCGCTCCCGACTCTCCCGGATATTAAAGCCGCCGAGCTGACACCAGCTGTCACAGCGCAGAGCCGCGGACCACGAAACCAGGCAACCATGGAACCACGGAACCAGGGGGAGTTAGGAACCAGAGGACCACGGATATATTAAACCATGGTGCTGCAATATCGCTTTTATATAGTTGTTGATACGGAACCACGTCCCCGAGGCATTGAAAGTGTTATTGAACCACGTAATCTAGCTAAGCTTGGCTAGTTACAAGCGTCTCAGGAGCCGCCAGGACCCTTTCCAGGAACCGTCGATCCGGGCAGTGCAGTCACAAATAACAACGGGATGTGGTCACTACTCAATGTGCCGTCTACTTCAGCGCAGGGTGCTGGGAAAAAAGGAATCAATACAACAGCTGGGCACAAAACACGCTCTCCTTGGCGTGATAGATCGGCGACATTTAACACCGCAAACATTTGTGAGTACAAACGTAAAAAGCTGAGCCCAAACGGTAAAAATTGCGGACAGAAAAGACACACACTGATTCAGAGTAGGTCGAGGGTTGGTGGGGACAGGCTGGTGAGTGAAGTCTACATGCAAGGCGTGGGTCGCGGGACCTATAGTAATCGCCCATCCACAAACATGTTCCCACTTTGAAGCCATGTTGACGTTAGTTTGGCTCATGCAGAACATCGAATGACAACACGCCGTAACGACCTTTCTGGAAAGCGACGAACAACGTCGACATTTTGAGCGACACACCACGCGACATCAAAGAACATCGGGGCTCGGGACAGAACTACACGGCACGGCACGGACGGAACGACACGGGACGGCACGGGCCGTGTCAGAGGCGGTGGCCGGACCGGCGGTTACCTGGCGTCAGGTCCTGTCGACTGTCCCGAGCTCAGTGGAAATGGTAGAGACGACGGTGTGCTGGGTTCACTGCAAGTGTGCAAACAGAGTGGAGAGAGTGAGAGAGTGAGAGGGAGAGGGAGACAGAGCAGAGACTCGAGCGGTCAGACACCGAATCGGGAACAGCAGACGGGTAGAGGTGGAGACGGACAGGAAACAACGGCTCTGTCGTGTGCATCTAGGTAAGTGCAAATATTTCATAAACTATCAAAATAATCTGACCTGAGTCAAAGCCTCATGATAAGAAGCTTTAACCCGCGCGGGGCTGGGGGGGGGGTAAATTTTACCCCCCCTCGCGAATTTTTGCGATATCTCAAAAACGGCGGCGCGCAGCGCCGCCAAACTTTCAGTACCTTTTCTTACATCAATTTGACACGTTCCCTGAAAATTTGAGCGAAATCCGTCGGAAAATTTTTGAGAAATTGACGTTTTAGTGACGTCATGTTCGTCATTTTCGCCTCAAAAACGGCAAAAGTTCAAACGCCGCTAACATCTTCATTTTTAAAGGAATCAAGACGTAACAAAAAAGGTTATAAGTAATTTTACTTTGTCTATCAAATGGCTATCTCGGTTTTTTGAAAATTTTGGATTTTGGCCTAAATTTTTTTCAAAAAACTGACTTTTTTGGGAAAATCATTATAAAATCCAAAATTTTGAGTCTATCGAAAAAACCGGAATATATGTCAGAGAAGTGGTCTATGTGCACCTACATACCAAATTTTAGAAGAATCGGTTCAAAAATGTGGGAGTTATTCAAAATTTTATGACGTCACGACACACAAATTTTTTGAAAAATGACTTTTTTGGAAGTTCTAGACCTCGTACGGAAACAAAAATAGTACCATTCGATTCGCCGTGAAAAACTGCATCAGATAGACACCTTTTTAGGCCTTAACAACCAACTTCAAAATTTGACCTCACTTGACCTGACCTTGACCTGACCTCGACCTGAAGTTCATCCAGAGGTGGTCCATATCACTTATTGAGTGTGCCTATTGAATTCTATGAGTAAAATGACCCATAAAACATGTGTCGCACATGCCCTTTTCTATATTTTGTTTTTTGGTGACCTGACCTGACCTGACCTGACCTTGACCTTGACCTCTGAATGATATTGTATGCAACGAATATTGTCTTGGTAGCCTAAGAACACGTTTTGGGCGATCAGTCTCAGTCCATGACTCCATTCTTCGGCAACTACGGTGCAAGGCCGATACTGTAGAAACTTGCAATTTGTACCCTTGACCTGACCTTGACCTTGACCTCAAACTTTAAATTAAGTACATGTTTTTAGTAGTTCGTGATGAGAGCTTTCGATTGGCGTTTGAATTTTTAAAATCGGACCGTTGGTTCGGGAGATAACAGGGGGGGGTAAAATTTACCCCCCCCAGCCCCGCGCGTTCGGCTGGAGACCCCAGCCCCGCGCGGGTTAATACCTATTCATGCAACTTGCAAGGTATTTATGTACCGCACTAACATGAGTTACGTAAAAAAAATAATAGGTGGTTCGCTGACAGGAACTTTGCTTATTATTAAAATGAAAATGAATATCCTAGCAATGCAACTCATCTCTTTTTTTTTGCAAAACAGGGAGGGCTGATCTTCGAGCGCCATTACATAACTTTGGTATGTTCTGAATTTGGTCTGGTCTGGGCTGTCCCGTCCCAGTGAAATCCCGTTGGCAACCGATAGTCCCCAAAGCCTTTAATTGGTCCGCTGCAATGTCAGCTAGCCGACGCTAACCGGGTCGCTCAGCGTTGATACCGAGCTGGGAGGTCCAATTGGACGCCTGCGGGCGGGGCGCGGCAGATTCAGCGGGCAAATATTTACAGAGACGAGCGATTGGAGTCGTTGGAGCTGTCTCTGGGTATGACGTCGCCAGATCACTGTTTGTGACGTCACCAGTATTTGTTTGTGACGTCACCAGGGCCCGGCTTTGTTTACGACACCGCCATAGACTGGGGATGGGGGCGGCCGGCTGTGGCCATTCCATTCACATATATCCGTCCGGACTGGCGTGTTCATACACATACAGGGTGTTTCACTAAAAGTGTCAAAAAGTAAAAGGTCATGATGCACATAATAACAATGTTTTCTACGGAAATTTGCATACCATTTCATCCGCAATTGTTGGACATTTGAATATATAAAAACGATAGCTCCGTCACTCAAACCTATTCCACATATGCCCCTTCTTTTGATGCACCGTTTCGGCACGTGTCCGGAGGTGCCTCACAGCCCGTTTTCATCTTCAGCGTCCAGACTGTCGGCAAAGCCTTGAATGGTGCTCTTCAGCTCCCGAAGTGATGCGACTTGAGTCTTCCTCAGCTCTGCGAGAGCTACTGACCAAAACCAGAAGTAAAACGGTGACAGATCGGGGCTTTGCGCTGGCCAGAGGCGGGCGGCGAGGCAGCTGATTTTTCGGTGCAGGAACTTCTAATCCAGCCAGTTCCTGGTGGTTACAGCCATTATAGTGGCTGTTTTTGATAACTTGTAAGGCCTTGGCTATTTCTGATGTTGAAATTAGCTTCTTGTTATCTTCAAAGACCCTCAAAAAGACCCTGACCTTTTCAACGGTTTCCGCCGAGAGGTGGGGGACCCCGTCTTTTTTGGACTGCGACCGGCATCGAAGGAACCCTTTTAAACCTCTCAAGAAGCCCTTTGAACCTTTTATAATCTGGAACGTAGCGAGGTGAGAGAATAAAACGTTTCCTGAAAAGTCGGCATACGGTTTCAATGTTTCTGATGGCACCAAAGGTAAGTGTAATTCACCCCTCCTGTTGAGGTGTAAATAACCTGTTCTTGTTCTGCATAAGGAAAAAAACGACTAGTAACTTTGGCCTCCTGCCCTCGCTCCGTATGGGTGTAAAATATATATTAAATGGACAAAGCATAAATGTCCAAAAATTTGCAACCAAGCCACGTGCACAACCACGTGATTTGCATATTTTATATAACTTTAATAGGCATTTACTTTTTGACACTTTTAGTGAAACACCCTGTAGATTAGATCAGTGAGTCCTGATAGGATGTCTTGGCTGTCTCGGCTCGCGATATATTGAGCGGCTGACAAAGGTTTAGCCTCAGATGTATAATAGAAAAGAAACATTTCTTAGAAATCTGAAAGGCGCTCTAGCTACGTGCATGGTACCATGAAAAGTGCAGGACAAGGTGAAAAATTCAAACAACTTGGGAATAGCGAAGCGGAAAATTGCAGCATCACCCTGCCATAAATACTGATTTTGACAAAGGTCAAGGTCAGGAGTTTCTCTCACATTGCAAAGCCCTCACGGACATGTTTAGGTTGGCTGAACATATACGACCATGACATGCTGAGCTACTACCACAGAGGTTCCATATGTCTTCATGCTCTGGGAACTAACCCCTAAAGCCAGCCAGCCTGCCAGCCAGCCAGTTATAGGCAACCAGCCAGCCAGCCAGCCAGGGTCTAGCTAACCAGCCAACAGACCGACCAGGTAGCCAGACAACCAGCCAGCTTTACGGTAAACAGCCTGTCAGCTGGCTATCAAATAGCTGTCAGTCAGCTGGCATATGCAATGCATAGCTGACCAGCTGCCCGGCAGGCCGGCTACAAGGCACACAGCCAGATACGACCACAAGTCTCTCACCTAGCGCGTCGGCGTCGGCGGCTGCGTGCGACCCCCGACGGCTGTGGTTGCCGAGCCACACCTGGCTCCTCATCAGTCCCTTGGTGCCCGTGTGTACCCTATCCACACTGTTGGAACGCAGCTGGATGGGTGAGAACGGCCCGCTGCACCGCCGGCCAGCGTTCAGACTGTCCCAATGGCGACTGCCGCCCAGACCCTCGGCCACCCGGTACAACTTCTGAGAGATGTCCTTACCTGGCCAGTCAGGGCATCGAGTCAGATATAAAAAAAAAATCCGGCTGGGCATGGGGCCAGAAGCAGTGACATGAGAGTATAGTACAGGGCAGATGGCGACAGGGGCGGGGTACACCGCGACGCGCAAGATGATATGAGAACTACTTGCATACGATGACAAATAGAAGTGACACACACATACACTTGCACGACGCAATAGACAGAATAACAGCCCATCAGCACGCCATATTACGCATAACTCCATATGTAATTACGTACACATGTGATGAAAGTTAGCAAGAAGCTTACTCACCTACAAGATTATGTATCACAGCATTGAGGAAACTACTGTTTCGCAATATGGGCGTGAGAACACTGGAACTCCACGTCAGATATGTGGAGTCCTCCACAGCAACAATGGACACCTGCAACGATGCAATTGCCAAGTAAATTCATACGTATATCAACAATGGAAGCCCTCTGCATTGTAATAAACGATAATATCTGCAATCATTCACCCGAATTGATGCGAGCAATAAGAAGAAAAGTGTTGTGTTTTTAGATTGTGGCGCCAGAGACAAATAAAAAGCAGCATATACGGCCCAGATGCAGCCGTATATGACGTAAAAAATGATCCTAGGGTTGTCGCATGGCTGAGGCTAAGATTGCCTCCAGCCATCGCGCAAGGCAAAGGGCAAATTGCTAGTCATCACTTCCTCTAATGAATTTTAAGTGATGGAATGCTGTGCATGGAATGCATGCTGGCAAGTGATGGAGTCGACAGCCGTCGTATCATTAGTTATTTTCCATTGTTTCAATAGATAACACAATGCACAAAACAACGCTAAACACGACAAATGTTTTTAATTAGAGATCATCCAGCCATCTGACGCTGCGCGCTCGTCAAGGGACACTGACTGACCTGATAGACGTCGTCCGGATCCAGCCGGGGACTGACGCTGGAGATCACGCCTGGGCCCGGACCCGACTCGTTCGGACGGTCCCGGAACGCCCGCTCCGACTCCCACTCCGGAGAGTCGATAAACTGGTTTGGAATGACGTAATGCAGGTGAATGCCGTCACAGAGCACCTCCAGCCTGAAAAAGAGCATGGGAATAGACATCGCCTACACACTACAAATAGGTAGGTATCGCATATACTATACACTCGTGGGGCGCATGAGAGATGGAGAGAGAAAGAGAGAGAGAGAGAGAGAGAGAGAGAGAGAGAGGGAGAGAGAGAGAAAGAGAGAAGGAAGAAAGGGAGGAATAGACAGAGAGAGAGAGAGAGAGGGATGGAGGAAGTGAGACTACTGTCGCTATTGTTCCTCGTTTTTCGCCTTTTCATCTTTATCACCACGAAAATGCCCATGAACCCATTTGCAGACGCATTTACATTAACCTTGCTGACCATAATCCATTTGCTCAGCAGGCAACAGGCGTGCTAGCCATTCATTTTCATTACATCACCGTTGCGGAAGTGCGCAGTAAGCTCACCGCCTGTTTCCCACTGCGCCCACCGCCCTTCAGACAGGTCTGCCATACCCTCCCGCTACCATCCATATTTCATTAGCGCTCCATCACCGGGGGACAGGTGGGTCCACTCCCCCGGCCGCCGTTTCCTTATCTGATTCCAATAAACAGCTGACCGGGAGGGCGGCATTTGTCGCCGGGTTATGAGCGCAGCGTGGTCGATCCATCGAGCGTGCTCCAGACCCGGTATAATGTCCGCACCGACCGCCGGATGTACGTGAATGTTCGAGAACTCGGGTCAGAAATCGATAGTGAAGATGTGCTGGTCGTGTTTGGGTGTCCGTGCTTGTAGGCCCTAACCTTTCACTGACCTTTGAGCGTCTCCATTGATCGCTTTCTTCCAAACAGCCCACCAACCATCAATGGGGTTCAATTTGCCCCGGCACACTTCGCTGACGGCATTCAGGGATGTTTTTCTTTTTACACACCCACCGCCCTGACGCAACGTTATTAGTGTGGGCACGGAAATCATTGGACGCCGTAATAAGCTGAATGCTGGACGCGGGATCCATAGCTGTATCAACTACTGGAGAGTGTAAATATGTGCTACTTCTGAGCTCCATTCATCAAGCTCATTTCCGAAAGCCACAGCAAACTTCCTGCTGTTTGTGCAGGCGTGCTATTGGTTAATGGTTAAACATTCACGGGCGGGAAATTAAATGCAAAGTCATCAGAACGGGCTGAATAAATCAACATGAACCTAGTGTGTTGTACGCAAATTTAGAAAACTGACAAACTCCATACGCCATTGCATTACTTTTCTATGTCATATGCTTTGCTTCAATCCTGTCCTCCAATAGCACTCAAAAATGCTAAATCTGCAGCGCTGGCTGCTTCGAACACAGGTTTTTCGGTAAGCATTCTTTTTACATAAGAAAGCATGTGCAATCTAAATCCAACAACATAAAACTCGTAGAAAGCACTATGGGAAAGCTAGCTAGTGGTGAGGTGAGAGCCCGTACTTACTTTCCGGTGAGCAGGACGGAGAGCCGGTCAGTGGTGGCCGTGACAGCCTCCACGGCGTAGGCTTGGGCCGCCGGCAGCGAGTGGTGCTCAGCACCGCGCGTCAGCTGCCCAAACTCGCGGTTATCCACGCGCAGCGGCACGAACAGCTTACGGTGCAGCTCCTTCAGGTGTGCGGGCACCGGTGAGGGCCGCTCCAGCCACCCCGCGTGGCCAATGTGTACCAGATTCGCGGCTAGAAGAGCCAAACTCCAGCCGAGCGCATCCGGTGCACAGATGTATCCGCCCGCCCAGCAGGCCAGCAGAACCTGACTGAGACAGAGCAGCGCGCGCATGGCCGCCGCGCTGCCGCGGAACGTGTGCGGCACCACGAACGCCGCCAGGTAGAACAGGTTGGCCACCTGGAACAGGTTCTGGTGCACGGCCGGCCAGGTGACGCACTTGGGCTCGTCCAGCTCCGGGTCCGCCGTTGTGGAGAGCAGCGGCGAGATGGTCGCGCTCAGCTGGGTTATCTGGGACATCTTCATGGCGAACAGAAGCCCTAGCCGCCTGAAAAAGGGGAAATCGGGGCGTCAAATAAGCGTATGATAGTCTGTCGTAACTAAAAGAGGCACATTTTAAGCGTCAAACAGAACAAATAGACACCGCGGAACTGGCAGAGCCTGTTGTATGGAGTGCTGCGGTGCAGCATCACTTCAGGCGCCAGCCACTAGCGCCATCTATGAACAGGAGCGCAAGCACATATGGAGTGCTGCGGTACAGCATAACTTCAGGCGCCAGACACTAGCGCCATCTAGGAACAGGAGTGCAAGTACGCACGCGAGGTCTCCACTCGTTTGGGAAACACGGATTGGATGGAGAAAGTTGATTTCGGACTACAATGTATCAAGGGCTACACTTGCATATTTTGACAGTCGTAGCATGGTGCGTCAGAATGTAGTCGGTATATGTTATGTGCCTTTTCTCATTTGTATTGTATTTGATTTTAGTCGTCGGGGTGTATCACACAACTACAGGAAGCCGGGATTCGTTCACGCATTCAATTTGTGTGGATGTATTTGCCTATCGATTGCTAATGTGTAATGGCATGCAATTGCAGGTGGTGGCCATTGCGACAATAGATACTAACTTAATCAACTTTAAACCATACCGCAATGACAACCTACCCTTGAATATTAGCAAACAGATGGACACATTTGACATTTTTTAGAAGATGCTTGGATGGACAATGCATATTTTTCGGAGCACAGTCATCGTGATACTATTTACCTTCCCTTTTTCTTATAAGTCTGGCGAAAAGAATATGCAAGAAAAAAATAATTTTGATAATCCCATATCAATGCCCTGTCTGGACTGACAATAGTCTGAAATGCCAGTTCTACTCTTATCAGATCCTGGCATTCATTAACCCTCGCCACACCTATTGGTTTTCTACATACGCGCCGGCCGAGGGGGGTTACGAACCCTCTCGCCATTTCGCCCCTGGTGGAGCTAGGGCGTCCCAGAAAAACGAGCGTGTGCGCCGTTACGAGACGTAAAGATTGATGCCCGGTTTTAAGGTCCTAGGTCAACCGGTGAGCTTTGAGGTCAGGTCAGATGCCCCAAGGTACGGTTCCGTTTTTTGGTGAATAACTTCGCAAAAAACGACCGCAGAGCCGCGATTTTGGCAGCATCGTGTTCGCCTCGCTCAGACGGGTCGAATCATATACATTTTGTTTGGGTGAGGTCAACCTAGGCTGTTGACCTCGGGTCACGGCCATGTCAACGCCCCTAGGTCACGAAATTGGTCGAAGAAGGTCATGTCGCATATCATTCGATTCGGCAGGTCTTCCTGAGTGCATTGGTGGCCTTACTCACTCGCTAGCTCAATTTGATCGGGAGTTATTGACGAAAAACCAATATGACCCTAATGACGTCATAAATGACGTCATTATGACGTCATTTGATTCAACTATTCAACTATCTATGTGCTTGAGATAATTGAAGATCGTTCCCGGCGCCAGAATAGAAGTTTTCATTTTTTCCCAATTTACTTATGATGATGAGGTCACGAAAATGACCTGACCGCATATGACCTTTAGGAAAAATCCAAGATATAAAAGTTGTGAGACTTCTAATGGATACAAGGTCCTGCAAGTTTCATTTCCCTAGGAAAGCTCCTCTGGCAGTGAGGGCGTTGCGAAGTTGCGACGTCTGAAAACCGTGCAGAGGTTCACCTATGACGCCATAGGTCAGTGACCTGACCTGACCAGAAAATGCGGTTGGTGTCAAAAGATCTGGCTTGAATCAAAGGTCAGGTATGCCAGGTTGCAGCTCTCTATCGCCTGCGTTTTAGGAGCTATCGCGAAAAAACTTATGGGGGGGTTGCGGCACCCACCCCCCCTCGAACGGCGAGGGTTAATAACGTTTGAGGTCTCGTCATGCATATGCCTAGCGTATGCCCACCGGTTACCCACAGTTCACTCTAATGAATGCATAATTTAACTTGCATCGGCCAAATGAAACACTTTGTCGTTGCAATTATTCAGCACGCTGAATGAAGTGGATGTGTCAAAGTTTCAATTGTTACTATGAATTGCGGGCATCGTCCCCGTATTCGCCATTTTCAATGGCAGACAGCAATAACGTTAACAGCTTCTTCTTTACCAGGAAAGGAATGAAAAAATAATATTGCATGGTGATACTCGTGTGCAATAATAACAGCAGCAACAGCTAATGTTTAAAGGCATGCCCATGCATCATTGGTATGTGTTAAACTGCCGAAAATAGTAGGCAGCCATTTCTAGCATATTCATGTCTGCTTTTTCTGCGACATCGGTCAACCATTTGCTTTGATTTGAGGTGGCTTTGACAGCACTTTGGTGTTCTAGCTGAAACCACTGATTATCTAGTTCAGCTTTGGCCGTCACTGTTATTGCACTTGACATAACAGCTGTCATAGCTTGGCAACGAGCACCATTTTCAGTTTGAAGGTTTCATTTGATTCTGATGACAATAATTTTCAGACTGTCCTGGTGCTTTCAGTTATGGAGCAAAATGAGGAGTTTGACTATGTATGTATTACCTACATAAGTTTGTCTTCGCCCTCCGCCTTGTGGGTTCCTTCCTTCTCAGTCTGAATGTTTCTGTCTGTCTGTCTGTCTGTCTGTCTGTCTGTCTGTCTGTCTGTCTGTCTGTCGTCTGCCTGTCTGTCTCCCTCCTATCCCTCCCTCTCTCTCTCTCTCTCTCTCTCTTTCCCTCTCTCTTTTTCTGTCTCTGTCTGTCTGCCTGCCTGTCTGTCTGTCTGTCTGTCTGTCTGTCTGTCTGTCTGTCTGTCCGTCTATCTGTCTGTCTGTCTGTCTGTCTGTCTGTCTGTCTGTCTGTCTGTCTGTCTGTCTGTCTGTCTGTCTGTCTGTCTGTCTGTCTGTCTGTCTGTCTGTCTCTCTCTCTCTCTCTCTCTCTCTCTCTCTCTCTCTCTCTCTCTCTCTCTCTCTCTCTCTCTCTCACACACTCTCTCTCTCCCTCCCTCCTCCCCGCTCCCTCCGTCTCCATGCTCCCGGATCCGATGTCTCCATTCACACTGGGGACTCGCTGTGCCCACTGCCCGGGTATCATATTACGCAGAATCGAGGGCACCGCGAGTGCTGGGATCGACAGACCACGCCAGGAAGATGGAGCGCTGCCTGCACAGATATGGGGTGCTGCTGACGTGTTAGCTACTGAGGGAGGAGTTAGGAGCTGCACATCATGGTGTCCATGACTGAGGGATAGGATAGGATCTGCGCCAGTGTTCACGGCTTAGTAACTGTTTGCGTAGGATCCGCGTCAGTGTCCACGACTGATGGGCTAGAGCTGTGTCAGCGCTCAGTTTCTAAATGACCGGGTCAGTTGAAGGGTCAGTTACTCAAACACGGACTTTCCTGCCCCTCACGCCACTTGGGTGACGAGTTGGCGACTGCAGTGTGAGGTGGTAACCGTCAAGGAACTGAGGAATTAGGCTCAGGTCATTGTACATACACAGACTGCTGAAAACATGCTATTGAAGGAAGTTTTTTAAAATGATAGCAGAATATCCTTTCAAGAACAAGTATGTGATAGATTTACTGGGATTTCTTATGTCTGTCCTCCCCCAACGATGGTTTTACTTATCACCAACTATAACTAAAATACGGTGGTAACCATCTCGCTGCACTGAGCTGGCAGACAGGCCCATTTGCACGATTGGATGGATTTCATGATGCGTTCTGGCAGTTCAGCTACCGTGACCTAAATAAAGTGCTACTTGTCACTTCATTAGCAGTGGCGGCGGAAGGTAATTTTGGATGGGGGTGCAAAGTTTTCTCAAGGGGCCCCTCTGGAAGTTTTGGCCCCCCCTTCATTTTTTTCTTTGAGTGATTATTATTGATTTATGGAAAACGAAGATTTTGGAAAATTATCCCCATACACACAAGTTCTGTAAAAGGTTTAAAATTGCAGTGTACATACCTATCTCAAATAATGAAAGCATTAAGAAGCAAATGCAGCTATTTTTTTATCGGCTAATCTTTTAGTCTAGCCACCACCCGCACTGCAGCGTCTCAAACCACTTTTCTGGATCCGCAGTGGACCATTGAGGGCCCTACGAGACCGTTCCAAGAAGACCGTGCTTAGAAGCCCCTTGGAAACCGACCACATAGAGACTCCTCCAGAGGCCTACATGACTCCCCAGGCTGAATGAGCCCTCCGATCAGGGTCGGTCCCTTGAAAGTTGCTGAAAGGTTTCAGAATTCAAAATTCAGAATTCAGATTTATTCAAAAGAAGTCCACTCACCATGGCTTTTCACTCTTTCACGTCAGTTACAAGTACAAAAAGGACGAATTTAGGCCACATTCACGTTCCACACGCATACCACTCATACATCAACTCACTCCGATCATCACTGAGGATCGACAGATCCGACGACCGCTCTGACAGCTCTACGAAACCCGGGCTCACAGGGATCTGCCCCTATACCGTTGAGCAGTGTCACGCCACACTGAAAACAATTTAACCCAAGGCTGGCGAGTAAACCGGTGTTTTACGGGTACCCCTATCCGCAACCATTTTTAACCACCCTCCCAGGAGTAGTGCTAGGTCCCATTGCGGTGTAGTCGTACTTGCTCTGAGCGGATATAACCGCTGTCAGCGAACAAGTCCGCTGAGAGCAGGGACGACTACACTGCAATGGGACCTTAGTGTACTCCTGGGAGGGTGGTTAAAAATGGTTGCGGATAGGGGTACCTGCAAAACACCGGTTTACTCGCGGGCCTTGGGTTAAATTGTTTTCAGTGCACGGTAACACATTCTCCGCCTACCGGATTCAGTGCGTATGTTGGGGTGGCTGAATAGATCGGCTTGCCTCGTTCTGTAGGTGTATAGGTTCGAAAGTCTTTTGAGGGCTCTCAGAATCCGGCATCGGACCCCAAAAAAGCCTGTATGGAGGCCCTCCAAAGCCGGGATGGAGGCCACAGGAGCCGATGTTTAGCCTAAAGAGCCGGTATGGAGGACTGAATAGAGGAAAGGGGTCTCAGTGGGGCCTTCAGGGGCAAGC